TTTTGGCATAATTTCCTATGCTACACAGTAAATCTTTGTTGCTTATCGTTTTATGTGTAGTAGTTTGTTAAGTCCACATTCCTAACTTGTCCTCCCCCCTCATCCTCTCCCTTTTGGTAACCATAAATTTATTTTCTTGGTGTTTCTGTTTATATTTGGATTCATTTGTATTATTTTTTAGATTCCATACGTAAGTGATATCATACAGCATTTGTCTTTCTCTGACTTTTTTCACTAAGCATAATACTCCATTCATGTTGTTGCAAGGGATAGTTTCTGTGTGGTGAGTAATGCGCCAGTGTGTGTGTGTCTCATCTTAAGGGAGTCATCTGTTGAGTTGCTTTCATGTCTTGGCTATTATAAATAGTGCTGCTATGAACACTGGGGTGCGTGCATCTGTTCAAATTTAGAGTTTTCATGTTTTCCAGATATATACCCAGCAGTAGAATTACTTGATCATAAGGTGGTTTTATTTTTAGTTTTAGTTTTTTAAGGAACCTCCAAACTGTTTTCCATAGTGGTTTCACCACTTTACATTACCACCAACAATGTGTGAGGATTCCTTTTTCTCCACATTCTCTTCAGTATTTATTTGTAGGCTGATTGATGATAACCATTTTGACCAGTGTAAGGTGGTACCTCATTGTGGTCTTGATTTGCATTTCTCTAATAATTAGTGGTGTTGAGCATCTTTTCATGTGCCTTTTACCTATCTGTATGTTGTCTTTGGAAAAATGTCTGTATGGGTCTCTGGTCCATTTTTTGACTGGGTGGGGTTTTTTTTTTTTTTTATATTGTACGTGTGCTTAGTCCCTCAGTCCTGTCCGACTCCCTGTGACCCCATGGACTGTAGCCTGCCAGGCTCCTCTGTTCATGGGATTCTCCAGACAAGAATACTGGAGTGGGTTGCTATTCCCTTCTCCAGGGGATCTTCCCGACCTAGGGATCGATCCGGGTCTCTTGCATTACAGGCAGATTCTTTACTGTCTGAGATACCAGGGAAACCCAAAAAGTACAGTAGTACAGTATAAGAGCTGGTCAACAGGAGCTGGCATCTAGTGAACAGGTAAGAAGAGTTACTGACTGGAGGAAGGAGAGGAAGCGGGAGATGGCAGAGCTGAAGGATCGTCAGCAACAGGAGACGGAGGGCAAGCTGCAGTTTCACTCACACCTGACGCTGACGGCACAGGTTCTGGTTCCTTGCTGGCTGCAGATAGAATTATCTACCTTCTTGAAAGAAGGATCCAGTGATGCCTGAGTAGCAGCTCTCTTTTTCTCATTGTAGATGACACGGTAGCACTGGATTGCATTCTGAACGTCTACTGCAGCCTTCGTGTCCCATTCTGTGTTCAGGTCTTGTGCCTCAAAAGCTGACAGTGCCTCCTCAGATAAAGAAGAGCCCTTGCCTTGTCCTGCATCGTGAATTTCCTCGGTCCTTCAGTTACTGCTGCTTCCACTTTGTCTCTCTTTGTCCTCCCTCCAGTTCCATCAGGTCTTCATTACTGAGCTCCTCCTGTTGTACAGCTTGGAGTTCAGTGAAATCGTCCTCCTGCAGATACAGCTCTACCTTCTCACTGAGGGTCACTGAGTCACTGAAGACCTCACTTTTGCATCCTCAAAAGCCCTAAACTTGAAGGTTCTTCTGGAAGGGACTTAGAGTATATGTTCATGTTCGGTCTATGTGGATTTTGGAATTTTTCTACTCAGTTTCTTTAGAGGATCTTCACTGATAGTAATTATAAAAAGAACTGACTCATTGGAAAAGACCCTGATGCTGGGAAAGATTGAAGTCAGGAGGAGAAGGGGATGACAGAGGATGAGATGGTTGGATGGCATCACCGACTCGATGGACACGAGTTTGAGCAAGCTCCGGGAGTTGGTGATGGTCTGATGGACAGGGAAGGCTGGCCTGCTGCAATCCGTGGGGTTGCAAAGTCAGACGTGACTGAGCGGCTGAACTGAACTTATACAAAGTACATGAAACATTCTCTAAGCATCTTTTAAAAAAAAAAAAATCGTATCTTCATTTTAAGTAGGTTTTGTTTAAATCAGGAACTCAGACTATTAATCTTTACTATTAAGCTTTTAAGTCTCCAGTGCAGATGGGTTAAGGAGTTAATCTGGGGCATGCTACAATTGGGACGGAGTATCTGACAGTTTTCAGTGCATCGCACTGGATTTGAATAGGGTTGTTGTTGATCCCCACTTCTCTTAGGAGTGGCAAAGTTAATTGGTGAAATATTAACTCTGACATAGCCTTTCTATGTCTGTGACTTAACTGGCTAAGTAGAAGAGTAACCTGAAAAAATTGACCTTTAAACAGATTGTTATGTTTAAAGTCACTTGGGGACTGTGGCTTTATATGACAGCTTAGGAAGTTCGTTTAAGAAGTAGGAAACTGATTTCTTGTGTTTCAAGTGTTTTAACAGGTAGCAAAAGTGAGAGTTTTATCTTTGTGTGAAAGTAGCAGCAGGTGTTCTAGTGAACTGTTTTGTGGTTTTGTGGCTGTGCTTGTTCTTTACATATGCTACTGAGTCACTATACTTTCAGTATGTCTTGAGAAGCAGTGATTAAGAAGTTAAAAGTTTGAGTCTTGACCTTAGATCTTGAATGAACCTATTGGACAACTGGAAAGCGATTCCTGGATGCTCTTGAATCCACTCATTTCTTTATTCTGCTGCATCTGTCATCCAAACCACCACTCCATTTCTCTTGGACTGTTGCTGTGGCCTAGTGACAGTCCTCCTTCCTTCCCCCACTTTGGTCACTTCATCATTCTACTTGACCCTTCTGATAGGTAATCACATCCCAGAACCTCTGTCCTCACTGTGACCGACAAACTCATGAGCCGGCTCCCGCCTCACTCCTCTCTCGTTCCAGGCTCCCTGCTTTGCTGTGGTGATTTGTGGCAGGCTTACTCTCCCCAAGGGTCCTCACCTGCCCCTTTGTAGGATGCCCTTCCTCCAGGTATTCCCTCAGTTGCTCCTTGATGAAATGTTACCTCTGCAGAGAGCCTGCTCCAACTACACTCTCTAAAACTGGATTCCTCGTTCTACTTTATATCTCACAGTGGCACTTACCCACTGTCTCATGTGCTACATCTGTTAGTCTGTCTCCATCACTAGACCATCCATTTCCTGAGACTAGGGACTTGTCTCTGTCATCAGTGTCTAACTATAACATGCACGCAGGAGTGCTCAGAAGTATTGTTGGTGTTAAGCACTGAAGTGAAGTGAAAGTCGCTCAGTCATGTCCAACTCTTTGCAACCCCAGGCCAGAATACTGGAGTGGGTAGCCTGTCCCTTCTCCAGGGGATCTTCCGAGCCCAGGGATCGAACCCAGGTGTCCTGCATTGCAGGCGGATTCTTTACCAGCCGAGCTATCAGGGAAGCCCATTATGCACTGAAGCTCATATTAAACACATCTGAAGGATGTGTAGTTGCAGTGCTTAGAGATGTGACGAATGGAGTGGATAGGTGCAGCGAGCTTTTCTCCTCTCCTTTCCTCATTCGCGTCCGGTAACGTCTCTCTACAGTCCTGAGGATGCACGTGGAATGATGTGTGTGGTGCAGTTAGGCAGCTCACCCAGCAGAGGGGGGTAGAGCCAGGGCTAGAGCAAGAGCAACTGAGTGAATTAGCTTTGTGCTCTATTTGCACAGAATCAAAAATTTCAGATTTAATTAGTAGCCTTTTTCTTTTAGTTAGGTTGGGGTGGTCCTCAGATGAAAATCAGCCCTTCTTTTTGAATAAGAGAGTTTCCAGTCTTTAGTTGGTTATCTTTAAAATACTAAAGGGTTATGCTAGGATGAACCCCCAGGTGGTGCAGTGGTAAAGAATCCGCCTGCCAATGCAGGAGACATCGGTTCTATCCCTGGGTCGGGAAGATCTCCTGGAGGAGGAAATGGCAGCCCACTCCAGTATTCTTGCCTGGGAAATTCCATGGACAGAGGAGCCTGGCTGGCTACAGTCCATGGAGTTGTAAAGAGTCAGATACAACTGAGCGAATAAACACACAATAGAATGAGGATTATTTTTATGCTCTGTGTAGTTTTTCAAAGGTGATAAAGAATAAATAAAGGGAATTATTTTTTAAAATACTGAAATATAAAAGTATGTTCTGATTTGGTACAGAATGCTAGCTTTCATACAGGTCTTTAGCAGCATTTCCTAACCCACTGTGACAAAACAAAGAAAAATGAATGTTCTTTTTCTCCAAAGTTGTATTTTAATGTAAGAAGCATATAAGATACACTTACTGGTGGTGGTTCTGCAATCTGTTTTTGTCATGTGCTTCACCAGAATTGAGATGGGCCGAATTGAGGGGGGCGTGGGGGCGTGGGGGGCGGTGTTCACTTGGTGGGAATTGGAGCTGTTTGTGCACAGGCGTGAAAGGCAGCCCCACCCACCCCTACCCCTCAGCCTTTGCATCAGTGCACATCTATGCAGTGACAGCCAGTCTCTGGGCCTGATATGTATCTTGTTTTACAATTTGAGCACATTCATTTCAGAGTATTTAATTCTTATGAGTATGTAAACGTTCTTGTTTACTATTTTTTTTTTTTAATTATGAGATGACTGCTCGTGTAGGCTACAGCAGTTTGACTCTTTTTTTCTGTTTTAGGCACATATTTCTTTCTAGAGAAATTTCTTTCCAGAAAAAGTTGTGCTTTAGAGTGGTGCTTCTCAAACTTTAGCATACTGTAAATCATCTGGTGATCTTATTAAACTTCCAGTTGAAATTCAGTTCTGCGTGGCACCTGAGAGCTCCATTTTGTAACAGGCTCCAGGTGATGCAAATGCTGCCCGCCTGTCAACCACACTGTGAGGAGCAAGACTTTCGTCTCTAAACTGTGAAGGCGATTTGCTGCCTGCAGATCATCCATGTGGCCACTGCTGTTGTAAGTGGTGAGATACATCCTCACTCTTCTGAGTCTTGACTGACTGTTCTCAAGTACAGTGAGTGCACAAGATAAATACAGTGAGATCCATAAGTCAAAAAGTTCAAATTCCAAAGTGAATAGCTTTATTTTCAAAATGATTTTAATGATATTCAGTAATGTGCTATGTAAAGAGTAGTTTACAAGTGAATGATACTCTTCTGTTTGATTCTCATACTTTAATAGGAGAAAAGCTCTTAATTTATGTTGATTATTGCTCCAATTTGTTTCTTAGAAATCAAATGAACTGTGACACTTCATGTACAAACATGCATACATTCATTTTTACATTTTTGGTGGAAAGACAAAAACCAATTAATCAAAACAGCAAATATTCTTAAAGATTTATACATTATGTATGAAGGAAACTATCCAAGACAACTTGTCTTTAAAAAAATATACAATTTAACGTACTTGTGCAACATATACATTTACATTTTGACTTTATCTGCCAAAATAAACCACTTATGAAACCATTTTTTAATATTTACATAATGGCTACATTTTCATTCTTTAAGGTTCAAACAGTTAACATTTTGTTTCAAACATTGCCCCCATATATACTTTTTACCTCTAGATGTTTAGCCTAATTGATTAGAATGAGTGTGCATTAATGAGGGCATACTCCTACAAGTTGTGTATATGATTATTTTCTATGTGCAAACTGTATTAAAGATGGACCAGGGAGCGAAGTTTGAGGAATCCTGTTTAATGCTTATGATATCTTAATTTATGAGATTGTCATATATTAAGTTAGAACTGTATATCAGAATAGACTATAAAATTACACCTTTTATAATAACTACTTGTGTAATAACCATCAGTATAATCACTTGTGTGATTATGATAAATTGTTTTCCACTTTTTTTTCACAGTAAATGTTCACTATTTTATAAAAACACACCCAGTTAGGAATCTGTCCAGTTTCTCAGCTTGCTGCTGAAGTGAACAAATGCACAAATTCAAATTTCAACGCAGTTTCTTTAGACTGTTTTACTTTATTATTTTATAAAGCTTGTATGGCAGCCATGCATGAAGCAACTCAATTCTTACCACATTCTATACACATTGTCTATATACCATTTATGAAATGGAAACTTTAAGAGGACATCTTTTAAGCCCTATATTCTACTTACTTTTAAAACAAAAGTATGGCTGAAGAGGAATACAGAGCTGTTTTTTTTTTTTTAAACAATTTTTAAATATCTTGGATGACTATTCAACCTTTGCTAAAAGTGCTCAGGGAATACTCCTCAGTGGTGCCTCTGCCTTAGACCTGTGGTCTGCTAACAGAAGTTGTATATTAAGGCCACGTGCTCTCGGGCAGTGGTTCTCAGCTGGAGCAGCTATACCTTCCAGGGAGCATCAGCCAGTGTCTGAGACATTTTTCGATTGCCACGAGGGGGAGGGTGACTCTGATGTTGGTAGGTAGAGCTGTAGACCAAGGCCAGCTAAACATCCTACAACGCACGGGACAGGCCCCCACCGGGAAGAGTTACCTGGCCCCCGGTGTCAGTAGTGCCAGGGCTGAGAGACCCTAGCCCAGCGAGATAAATGGTGCAGACGCGTGGCTGACTTAAGTTTGCAGTAATCCAGCTCCTTCGTGGAAACGGTGCCATCAAGGCGACTCATCTAAGGCGAGGCCCGCCGGAGCTCGCCAGCCTGCTGTGGGCACGTGACCTCCATCTAGTGTTTATCTAAGGAAGCTTAGAGGCAGGGTAAAGGAGGATGACATGCTGGAATTCTTAGCATATTATTTTGAAGAACTAGTATACATATATATACAGCAGTTACCCGGTTTATTAAATAGTCTTTATCAACGTAATGACCAGTTTCCCTCCATTCTTTTTTTAAAACAATCCTTGGAATGAAACAGTGAGTCCACACAGCTGTTACAAGAATTGGGCTCTACCACATGTAGAGAATACCATGTCGTTTTTGCTATAACCCCCTGACATTTTATTGCTAAGTGTTTCTTTTCCCGTTGTTTCGTCAGACACAAAATGAATCCCGGAACTGTGCAGACAGCCCTGCGCTACCATCACAGGCACACACAGGCTCATGCCTGTTTTCCTGACTTCGTGTCACATTCTGGGAGGATTGTCTATTTGTGTTATAAGAAACCCAGACAATGGGTTTTTAAAAGTTGAAAGTGTCACTACTGAGCTCCACCCCAGTCTCCCCCATTTTATAATGAGGACGCTGAAGTTTCAGAGGCTGAGTGACTTGTCTGAAGCTTTAAGTATGTATTTTCTGACAGAAAACAGTCCCCACAGCCTTTGCCTCTGCGCTTTTTCTCTCGGGCCCTCCTAGAGGATGAACCTAGAAGCCGACAGAGAAAAGAAGGTACAGCAGGAGGAACGGGTGGTGGTCCGCGTGGTGGCCCGTTGACATCATAAGGACCTGGATGCTTGTTAAAATACAGGTCATCAGGCGTCATCCCAATCCGATGACTAAATAAGATGATCAGGAATGGGGGCCTGAGGCTCTCTGGTGAGCAGACTCCCAGGCTGAAGTCTTTCTTCTGGAAACGTAAGTTCTCCAGAAACAAGCACGGCAGGTGCTTACTAGGTGGCTTCTAAGGCCTCCTTGTCATTTCCTGCAAATTCCTGAGACTGTTTATATTTTACCTTGTCTACCCTGCCTGAAATATCAACAATTAGAAGTTCACTTGGGCTTAATTTTTCTTACATGTTTAGCAACGACTGCAAACAGCTCCCTGAAGTTAAGGGGATTATACAGTAATTCACGCAAGTGCGGGAAGTGGAACGGATGACTTTCTCCTCACACTTGGGGAAGAGCCCCTGCCCTGGGAGTGGAGGTTTGGACAAGAGGTCCCAGGAGGGTGGAAAACTCCGGACTCCTGGAGAGGAAGGCGGGCAGCTGTGGGCTCGCAGAATATGGGGGCACCAGGACGTGGGAGAGGTTCATTGTGGAAGCAGAAAGGATTCCAAAGCAATTACTCAAATTTCAAAAACTCACAAGATACCAGCCAGGTCAGCCAGTTTTCATCCTAAAGGAGAAAGGAAATGTCTTACTCCTTCCCAGTGGGGACTCCAGCAGACAAGATTTTACTATAAATGTTATAGATGCTAAACAAAAGTTAGTGCTGTGGCCTCTAAACCCTTTAGGCCACTAACCCTCCGCCACTTAAGAGATTTCGTCTGCAGGAGGCTCTACCAGTCATCAAACATGTTTTGATAAGCACATCATCACAAGAAACAGAACTCTGAAAAAGAGCTGTGGGCTGACAACAGCAAGTTTTACCTCGTTTATAAACAAAGTTATAACTGAAAATGTCCTCTGTGGCAACTCTGGACAAGCAGCAAAAGTTGAAGATCTGTTTTTTTCCCCAACAGTATCAAAATCCAAGCTAATGATGTATCTACACCTACTACTTCCACTTGTTTAAAAACAGTTGTTTTAAATAATTGGGTTCCCCCACCCCCAAAGGTTATATTTTTCTCTAAGATTTCTCCAGTTTGGAAACATGTCATGCTTCAGATACAATGTACATGATAATGTAAACTCTGGACCAGCCAGCATAAAGATCACGTTTTCCTCCATATAAAATAAGTCTTTTACCCTTTGTACCCCTGACCTCCTGATCCCCTCACAATTTCTTTCCAAACTGACCTGCAGTTCTAATTATTACATTATTTAAATTACCCTGGGATTAAAAAAAAAAAAAAATCCATTCATGCGAATAGCAACCCCCGGCTCTAGTGTGCCCCTTCCCACTGCGGTGGGAGCTGCTGGGTGATTCAGCTGTTGAGTTCTGTGTTCTCGTCAGTTTCATCTGGACTTTTGGTCATTTTTTCATATTTTCTTTTGAAGAATCCAAGCTGTAAGATGATGTAAAAATGTTACCAGTTGTGGCTTATTTTGTATGAGACCCAGACCCACCCCCTGCCCCTGGAGGTGGGGCGCTCCAGAGAGGTGGCTGTGCAGAATATTGACCTGGCATCAGCCCTTCAAGGAGGAGATTGATACCCAGAGTTGAATGAATTGCATAAAGTTAAAAATTTTCAGGGTCTGCTTATTTGCAGCTGAACAAAACATTCAGGGTCAGCATGAAAGAAGGTTGGGGTAAAGGGATCAAGACCACTGGAGATAAAATCCTTACTGATTGTTTTCAAAAACTTGAGTGAGAATATGCAAACAAACTTGCATTTCCTTTTTTCTTACAACATAAAACTTAGGGCAGCTCTGTGATAAGAAAATTGGAAGACAGAGGTCTTTAGGACCCTCATATCTTAAAATATGAAACAGTTCTTACCTTCCATAAAATTGCAACTAGAGCCAATAGCAAAAGGATACCAGCGATCACACTTCCTACTATTACTCCAATTGGTACTTCAACTTTCTCATGGGGTTTCATTATCGTAAGGGGAATCTGTAAGTGTATATACAAAACAATTGTGTTAACTTTAGACTGGGAAAAAAGGTGAGATGGTCTAGTCAAATCTTCTAATCTTAAAAGTGATGGTCTAGAAAGGGGATGTGATTTCCTCATGATTGCAATCCTCAGTTAAACATTGTGAAGTAGAATCTCCAGAGAAAATGAGCCTGCAAATACAGGCAAAGCACGCAAGTCTTCCCCTTTTCTTCCTTTAATTGCATCAGTGCTTAGCAGGTAAGTCATCTCTGACAATCTCAGATGCTTTAATCATTTATGAAATGGGAACTTCAGTTTCTGACATCCATTCAAGTGAAAGCATTTGGAGCCCAGTCTTGGGGAGGGGAGTCAACAAATTAACCACCCAAATCCCTTGTGATTAAACAACAATTTTGTATTGGGTTCCTAAAATGTTGATTTCACTTACTCTCACTCAGGATTACTTGATAATGAGTTGTTAACAAGTAGAAGTAATATCTCAAGACTCAAGCTGACATTTTCAATGATAAATTGCCCTTGAGGCTACATGTGATTCTTAATGTCCATTTTCTGTCAGTCTTTGTGATTTTGGGCTTCCCTGGTAGCTCAGCGGTAAAGAATCCACCTGCCAACCCCTGGGTTGGGAAGATCCCCTGGAGAATAAAATGGCAACCCACTTTAGTATTCTTGCCCGGAGAATCAAATGAACAGAGAAGCCTGGTGGGCTACAGTCCATGGAGTTGCAAAGAGTCGGATGTGACTTAGCCACTAAACCACAACATCAGCATGGCTGCTGTAAGTTCTAACTGTAACACTGTATTATTATTATTTTTTAATTGAAGAAAGATCACAACCATTTCCTCCACAAAGAATATTCTTAAAAGAGTTACATTTTGGAACCAAATGAGAGGAACCTAACTTACTTACTTGAATTTAACACTGAATTACAATGAGAGATGAGCTGCATTTCACCAAAGCATTTATGAGTTGGGCTAAATTTTAGTCTGGTCTTTTGGTGACTATAGTTCTTCTAATTTGGATTTTGAAGAGCTAAAATAAAGCTTCATAAATTTAGGAATAAAATAACTAAATTCATATAGTTCATTGTGTAGTGGCCATCATATCCCTACCTCTGTCTATTTTAGAACGTCCTAATCCAGGCTCCATAGATCTTTAGGGAACCATGAGTACAAGATTTTTGTATCAGATTTTTAGGCAGGCTTAGAATTCAAGTAAATCTAAGAATCATTCATCTACCTATAGGGATAGGTCAGTTTATTCTTTGGATTCCAAAAACTATTTAAAAATTATTTAAAATAGTATTTGAATTAAAAAAAATTTTTTTATAGACACAAGTAGTAGTCAGCCTCTATTATCAGCATTGAGCAGAGAAAACCATGAAAAGAAAAATCTCCCAAAAGGTTCATTGATGTTAATTTGAATTTTTCATTAACACATTTATTTAGTCCAGGTTTCCTAAAGATTTCAGCAGAGGTCCAGGTATTGTCTGAATACTGCATTTTTCTGAAATGAACTTTTAACATATGTAGAGTATTTCCTTCTCCCAACCCCGCAGGCTAAGTTCATAGAACTCTGATTTTGAATCCCACATTTCCTTTGGCTCCATTTCTGGCTTTCCACACTCCAGCCTCTGAAGATAGGGTGTGGGCCTTCGCTGACAGCCCTAAACCAGAAGCAGAAAAGCATGCTGTGCGGAATCATTTTTGTTGGGACAGCAGTGGAACAGCAGTGCTGTGAGCGCTACACGCAGGCACTGAGAGTCCAGGCTTCGCAAGGTCATTGGCATTTTAGCCAAGTCCATAGGCTGCAGCAGTGAACTTGAGGCCAGCGGCCCAGCTGGCCTTGGGGGCAGAGTCTTGAACTGGCTTCCAATTCCTAACAAAAGCATTGGGAGGAAAATGCCCAGGTCTCTGCCAGCAGATTAACTGAGCATGGAAATCCTGCTATATCTAAACACAGCGTATTCTGAGCAGAGTTCCAGTGCAAAGGAAGGCTGTCCCATGCCAGCTCTTGCAACAGTGAGCCTTTGTTTTCTGTGAACATATGTTTCTTTGCCAAATCTTTTTTTTTTTTTAAATCAAGAGAAGCATTTATAGTTTTCTAGACTAAAGATCTAATGAATGGATGTGTCATATAGTGTCAGTATCATTTGTAAGGAGTACTACTTAAAAAAAAAAGCCTTCTAATAAATGCCTTATTTATTAAGCATACTTCAGTACTTAAAAAAAAAAAGTACTCTGAAATACTATGTATGATTCAAATGAGCATGACTTAGACTTCATGGCCTAGGATGTAGATTACTTAGTGTAAGCATGAGCAGAAAGGAGGAGCTGAGGTGCTGGTTGGGGCAGAAGCAGTGAGAAGGGAGCCACAGCCAGATGGAACCCCTTGCACCCTGCCTTCTATGGGATCATCATGTCTGATCCAACTTTGCCAACGTGGGGACATGGAGTAGGGCAAGTACATAACTGGGCTTTTTTGAGTAGCAAACACCCTTGTCAAAAGCTCAACATGCCCCCTGCACACAGCACTGGCAGAGGGGTGGGCAAACCATCTGAGCCACCCCTCCAGCCCGACCCTTGGATACACCCCGCTACCCTCACCCCATATAAGAGAAAACAGCTCCCCTTTCAGGGTGCGAGGAAGCAAGGGAATCTGTTAACTCATTCTTGCTCCCCACCTGCTACAGCAGGGGCCCTAATAAATCCTTGCCTGAAAAAAGAAAAAAAAACTCAACATGATAAACATTAGACTTTGAGAGTTTCACTAAGATAGTTCTATATACAGGTAGGTGAGAAGAATGACTGTTCTATAAACTGTCAGAAATGGAATGACTGTCAGACTCCACGACCCACAGGGAGGGACGTGAGCACTCACCGTGACCATGTTTTCTTCAATCACGTATATCTGAGGGTTGTACGTGTCAATTTCTGCAGCTGCTGTTAACTGTACTGTCTGGAAAGTCGACTGGAACATAAGAATAAAGAGTATTTTTTATCCTAGCAGAAGTTAATGCATAAAACAACATGTCCATTATTTATTTCCTTGTGGAAAGTGACTGGAGCAAATGCCAACTCTGAAGACTCAAACATCTTTGTGCGCTTAAATCACTGATAGGACAGGACCCCACGTGGGAACTTCAGCCCGCGTGTGGGCTGTGGGTGGCTGGGCCCTGCAGTGGCAAATTAAACTGAGTCTTGGCGGGTGGGGTCTAGATATCAGCTTGTTAAAACTCTCCAGACGACTCTTAACTTGAAAACAGGGATGAAAAACAAAGGTTTAGAACTGAAGTTTTTAACTGGGAAAGATCATAGTTTAGGCTTTTAAAAACTTAAGTTTGTGACATGAGAGAAAATTGAAAACTTTATACTTGCCTAAGTCACAAAATGAAATAGAAAATCACATTCAAAAAGAAGAGAGTTTTTCCTCTGGGTACACATGTATAAATAATACTGTTTAAGGACCACACATGTCAGTGGCAGATACCTTAAACCTTATGTCAGTGCTATATAACAGTGATAACTTCAGATTTCTTAAGTATTTCTACAAAAATATTGGATTTGGGGCAGGCATTTGGAAGGACATACATTTTATGTTGATGTTATTATTAACCTCCAAAAATGAAATAGTTTTACATGTGTTCTTGAATGCACTTACAGAAAAAGCTATGCACTACTGCTGTATTGTTTTCTCTATAATAAAATATTGGGACTGATGCTTATTTTGAGACAAAATAGAATGCCTGGATTTGAGAACTGCCTTCCCATGCTCTGGCTACTAGGATTGAGTTTTTCTGGTTACCAGGGCACATGATTCAATATACTCCATGAGGTAATTTGCTAAACTATATCTGGGAGCCAGAAGAAGAGAATGCATATCCAAAAAGTGAGCAATTTCTTTTCCACTGGCTCAGTCTCTGATTAGTCTTCTTAATTTTCTCAAGATGGAAGACTGCAGCAGAAGTTAACCCTGATCACTGGTCCCTCAAACGTACATTATTTGGGGAACATTAAGAGTACTGACAATGGTTTAAATTAGAAAAGGAGGAACAGTTCAGTGAATGCTCACTTCATAGTCCCTGTGGAGTACAGGTGAAAGCATTTCCTTACAGCACCGATAGGTATATCTGCCCTCCCAAGTCTGGCCGTTTGCGCAGGCGCACGGTCCCCAGCACGGCTGACAAGTGGAGGTGGGCGGGCCATGCATACCCAGGAGTGGGAAGTCACACCTGCTAACATTCAGCCTTCTCCTTACAAAGAGCCAACATGCCATTGATTTGGAGGTCTGAGCAATCGCTTTGTGATGAAATTACTTTGAAATGTTGACTTACACTGCCTCAGAAAAAGGGCAAAAAGTGCTATATTAATGGGCTCTAATACAGGAAATAGGATTCCTATTTCAGACTGGGTCTCCTAGGTAGTCTGAACATCCACTTGGCTGTTGAAATAGCTGAAAACAAGGTGGGGAGAAACATTTGACCTTTCATGAAGGAGGAAGATGTATAAGCCTTGATATACAGTAATTCCTATGAGTGTTTTTCAGGATAAATAATACACTGCTTCAAAATTTTGCTCCCAGAAATGAAACTGCTGCTTCTGAAAACCTTGGGAAGGTACTTTAAAGAGTCTTACAGTTAAAATGATGTAGCTTTAAACAAACTTGAGAAAAACCAAATGCATTTTACAGAGTTGGAGTGATTGCCTTTTGATTTGCAATGGTTTTCCTTCCCAGCTGGCAAAGATTACTATGAAAACATTTGTTCCTCAAATCCAAGGAGCCAAGATCCAATGGGTAAAACTCAGCGGCAATCTGCAGCAGCTGGGATGGTGGCATAACTGCCTGCTTTGCTTCTTACAGTATTTAGAAGCGTCCTGGAGGCTTGAAAGCAACTAATGAGAAAACCAACTAAAAGCAGGCAAACAAGCAGAAAACCCAACTCCTCACTCCTCCACTTCTCTAGCAAAATTTCCCCTGCCTTTCACAGCTCTTGTTATTTCTTTATCCAAGAATATTGCTTATATTTTTGTTCCAGGGACAAGTTTGGAGGGAGCTAATTCTCCAATGTTACATAAAACTCCTCAGCAGGGAATGGGGTCTGTTGGAGAGATCACGAAGTGGTTAGCAAATAGGGAATAGGATATAGTTGGTAAGCACCTTAAGGACTTATTTATTCATTTTAAAATCACCTAGAGCTACAAGGCTCCCTGGAGATTTTAGACTAATTTTTATTTTGCCTTAGAGCCAGTGTTAGTAAAATGAACAACTCGCTGCTTATGTAGTCAGATTTAAAGAGCTTGGTCCATCCTTCCAGTTTCCGAGCCAGATTGAAATTCTGGCTTCCGAAATCTCTATTGGAAGCAGATATCACTACTGCCAAGTCACACTTGCTGATGGAATAACACCCTGACATTGTTCTGGCACTTTCTTTGAACTTTTCATGAGATTGAAATGACTTTTAAAAAAATTGGAAGCACACTGGAGATTTCATGAGACAAGGGGTAAGAACAGGAGAGCAGAGTGTTTGTCTGGCTCTCGAAGACAGATGCTTAGGTCGGAGTCACCCTCGAGGTGGCCCGAGACCAATCAGCAGCCACCTGGGGGTGTCAGGAATGAGGCTGGGCTGTGCGGGCCTTGACTTGGGTGTGGCAGAGACCAGACGGTCAGGGAAGACACGAGGAGGCAGATAGAGAAGGGGGCCCCCCGCACCCCAGACAGCAGAGGGGATCCCGACACCACTCCAGGGATTCTGCTGTGGTAGGTTGGCCTGTCTAAGAAGCAGACGCTTTACAAGCACCTCAGGGGATTCAGAGGCACAGCCAGGTTGGGCAAGCCTTGGAAAGGGATGGAAGCATCTTGCCTTCCAAGGTGAGATTGCTTGGGGCCACTGGGCACGGCTGACATTAACCAGAATGCTAATTTTGTCAAGAGGTGTGAACTTACAATGAAGCTTTACGTTTCCTTGCTATCCATAAACCCAATAAATAAAGCTGATACTTACTGCTGCAAAAGTCCCATTCCAAATCCTGGTGGACACATTAAGGAAGTATTCTCCTTTCACCTGCAGGTCTCTCAGCCAGCATGTGATGTTACTACATGAAGCAGTTCTACAGTTCTTTCAGGTTGGAGTCAATGATAAAAGAAGAGAAGTTAGTATGAGCTTAAAAAAAAGAAATGCTAAAATTTTACGAAGACCGATAAAACCCTGGGGAGGATCTAGGGAAACTGGCAGTCTCGTGAACTATGAGTAATTATTATATAACCCTTCTAGAGATTCTGGCACTTTGCCTCAAAATGTAAGAAGTACATATCCTTTGCCCTGCCATTTCCCATCTGTATGGAAGGCCTCAGGAAATAATCATAAATGAGTGCAGAAAAATACAGCAAGCCTATTTATTGCACTACTATAGACGAGAGAGAAAAAAACAAAAGAAATAATTCATGTTTATTAACAGTGTACTAGTTTATTGCTGAATATATATACACAAAGGGCTTCCCTGGTGGCTCAGATGGTTACGAATCTGCCTACAATGTGGGAGACCTGGGTTTGATCCCTGGGTCGGGAAGATCCCCTAGAGGAGAAAATGGCAGCCCACTCCAGAATTCTTGCCTGGAGAATCCCTATGGATAGAAGAGCCTGGTGTGCTGCAGGCCATGGGGTCGCAAAGAGTCAGACAACTACTGAGTGACTAACACTTTCACTTTTTCGTGTATATACACAAAATTCAGTTCAGTTTAGTTAGTAACCTCATGATAAAGATGCATTCCTTGAGTTTTAAAAAAGTCGTCATTAAAAGAGTCAATGGTTACCAAGGAAGGATTAGTGGGGAGAGAGGGATGAACAGGTGTAGCTCAAAGGAGTTTCTGGGCAGTGAACAACTCTGTATGCCATAATTGTGCACCATGTCATTATACATTTGTCCAGACTCATAGACTATACATCAAGAGTAAAACTAATGTAAACCATGGACTTTGGGTAATTAGGATATGTCAATAGGGGGGATCTGATAGTGTGGGAGGCTGTGGGTATGTGGGGGCAAGGGTATATGGGAAATTTCTGTAATTTAAACTCGTTTTGCTGTGAACCTAAAACTACTGTAAAAATAAAGCCTGTTAAAAGATCTATGATATATTGTCCAATGAAAAGAGGTAGCTTGGTCCACTTATGTAACAGTATACATGTGCCTATTTGTAGATTAATGATTAGAAAGAAGAATGTTCAGTAAATGTTACATGGTCAGCTGTTAGATTTCTAGAGAACTTTAGTTTATTCTTTGTAGCTTTTTGTGTTCCGTTTGCTTTATATTGGAAGTTGCCATTTTTACAAAATCAAACATTTTCACAAAAATATGGAAACTTCTAAGAGGTATCATATTTTGGCATGCACTGAGGTGAGTTCCTCTTGGGCATTTTTACATACCTCTGTTCAAATTTAGACATTTACACTGTACTTACACTATAGTTACTTAAGAAACTGTTTCATTTCCCTAGTTTCCTGTTTTCCCATCCTTTATGAAATAAAACAATTGCAATGACAGGAAAACAGGAGAATTTCCACCTTGTTCCTAGAGGAGAACCGACGTTAATCTTGTACATGTGTGCTAAGGCACTTCAGTCATGTTCAACTCTGTGCGATTCTATGGACTGCAGCCCACCAGCTCCTCTGTCCATAGGATTCTCCAGGTAAGAATATTGGAGTGGGCTGTCATTTCCCTCTCCAGAGGATCTTCCCAATCCAGGGATCCCACCCACGTCTGCTGTTTGACCGGCAGATTCTTTACCCTTGAACCCCCTGGGAAGGCTTGATCTTACTGTTCGCTAAATGTTTCTGTATTTGAATACTTAATAATGTGCCGAGCACCATGCTTGACACTAGACAAGTCTCTTTCCCAAAGAAAGTGGCATGTAGCTGCACAGCAGGATATGATAAAATACGGAAAGCAGAGAAGGGTTGCCAGAGTCAAATTTAACAGCTCAATAAAGACATGAGTGATTCTGTGGAGAAGGTGAGAGAGGCTTTACCTTGCATACATGCCCAGCTCCCGCCCAGCTCTCTGCAGTGTTTCCAACATGCACGACACAAAACTCGTTTGACCTGGGGTCCTTTTGATTTCATGAAATTATAATAATGGCATAAGTGATAATGCCAATAACCTGGTTTTGAGCGTATATTTTCTTGATTCACACAGACCATCAAAGGCAAAACAGGAAAGTTCTCCCACGTGTGTGGTGGCAGGAAAAAAGAAGTGCCTCAATTTCCAGGGAAAACAAACAGTGAATCACCCAAGGAAATTTTCACCCCATTAACCTGTCCTTACCAATTCTTTTATGTGCCAGAAATTTTCACTCTTGAAAGATGCAGAAGAAGACGTCTGTCCTATTTTCAGTGGATTTATTTCGGCTTTGCAACTGATGTCACCAGCCTACAAAGAAGGGCATTAAATTGGTCTTCGGAAGCAAGATGGTTTATGATGTTTTCAACTTGTTAGGAAATCCTGTTGTCCCATGTTGGGGCAGGGGAGGGCTCCCAGGATCCCCTTCATTGTGCTGACCTGGCCACAATTCTGTACATCACTACTGTAATTCTGAAGGATTCAAATCCTTCTGATGTGACTGGACGGCATGGTACCGGTTCTTAACAGTCCATGTGTGATGAAAGAATAACAACTGACTGTGAGTGATTTCACTTGGGTTCTTTCCTGTGGAACAGTTTAGGCTTTTGCTTCCCTGTAGTCACCTATGAACACCACAAAAGTAATGCTGCTGTAGCATTAGCTAAGTGCTAACCACGGGGTTTGGCTAGAGTATATCAGAACTACCTGGGTGGCTTTTAAAGGAAAACACCAGTGCTAGAGCCTCAGCCCTGGAGATTCTGATATAATTGCCTGGGGTAGGCCTCGGCATCACACAGATTTGGGAAACGACCCAGGTGATTAAATGAGCACCTGGGGTGGACAAGTCCCAGACAAACGCCCAGGCTGAGAGCTTGAAACCAAGCTACTGACTGAAGCTGTGTGGCCCAATTACTCTCCCATCATGGGTTCAACCCTCACTTCCCAGCCAGCTAACTTCTCTATAAACAGGGCTCTGACAAAGTCAGATCTTCACCTGATCAGAACAAGGTGCAAATAATAATTTCTGCTATCTGTAAATCCCTAGACTCAGACATTTCTGATGACAATATCCTGCTTCTCATATGAAATTAACGGCTAGTTAACTGCACCCAGGGTGCAGAGGGATTATCTTTTCAGCTCCTCATCTATAAGATGGCAGCTATGATCACCCCCACCTCACGGCGCGTTTCCGCATGGAAGGTGTGCATTTTTATAAGCAATTTGGCCGCCCTTACCCGGTCTGTGTGCACCCCAGTCACATACATCAGCGGGTTCTTGCCTTTGGTGTATTGAGGGATGTGGATAATTACAGATGCCATGCTTACTGGAACACTTCCTGTTGTCACCTGTGTAGTAAGAACACATTCTGATTGCTGCTACATCAGACACACATTGCAAGGAAAGTGATCAGTAACCTCAGGATTGATGACGGGCAACTATTAAGTAGTTAGATTGAGTCCCTATGGAAGTGAGTCACTACTTTATGGACTCTTTGAGTCCTTGTGTTTTATCTTTCATTAAAATCTCAACATCTATGATTTGTACTGGTACACAATTTGTGACTTAGGAGATGGTTAAAAACACTTGCCATCTGTGGGTTTGGCCTGTCAGGGCATGAAGTCCCACTCTGCCCCTGATAGCAGTGGGATTTAGGCAAGATACTTGACCTCTTCATGCTTCAGTTTTCTCATTTGTAAAATAAAGATAGTCAGCAACTCGGAAGTTATGCACAGGCAATAGCCTCTATTCTCACTGGTGGGAAGTCTGTCCTAATTGTTCACGGCTCATGCCCTATTGGGGTTACACATTTTAAAGGACGCTCATAGGAATAATAATCCTACCAATCTAATAACTGATCTGGGAATTAAATGGGTTAACATATATAAAGCATTTCATACAAAGGCTGATACTTATTATATGTCTTTGAATATTATTTTATTGTTACTACTAATTGACTAAATGTTTCATTAAAGAAGTAACTGCTAAATACCATGCACATTTTATAAATTCCATAAATTATCACAAATCAAGATTATGACAAATCAAGATTCCTTTAAGGACTTTTTAAAGAATACAAATTGTCACCAAATTATAGAGTTGTAACCACTTGACAGATTAGTAGAATATGTACAAAAATAAAATGACAGGCTGGTGGATGGATTCTTTCCTTTTTATTTAACAAAGTTTATGTAATGTCATTATAAAATATTCTCTCACAAATTCATTTCTCTTTATATAACTGTAAACAAACTTTAATAATTACCAACTAATAGCCAATAGAAATTGATTAAAAAATTTTTTTTTGTATACTACTTAGCATGACTGTACAAAGTAAATATTTGTATACGAATGGTGAGCTTTAAGTTACTCAAACAGAAGTATGAACCTGTTTAAACTAAACAGAAGTGGTTTCCCAGCATAAATTGGCATCATATTCCAGAGACTGCTGTCCATAGTAGTAGCTTTATGTTAATACTCTGTTGATTAATATTCAACATTTGCTTTCAAAATACACCAATTATCTCTACCCTGGATACAAAACTATGTATCAGTACAAAACCCAACTGTTTACTTATGGATGTCCCATCTTTGTGGTGGCATCTAGCCCAGAAGCATCCGCATCACCTGGGAACTTGTTAGACCTGCATATTGTTAAGTCCACCCCAGACCTTTTCAATTAGAACTTCTGGAGATGGAGCCCAGTGGTAGGTGTTTGACAAGACTCAGGTGATCCTAATGTGTGCTCAAATTTGAGAACGACTGGCATATTTCACTTTTACTTTCTCCTTCTCTTCCTGCCCTCATTTTGCCCTCCTTTCTCTTGATTTCCCATTCTTATGACAGGTGTACCAACCTTAATGGAGAAGATGAATTTTGGACCAATATCTTCAAAACTGTGCATAATAGAAGAAACATTCCCATCCAAGGAGACTTCATAAAAATTTATGTTGGTAGATCTGTTGGATGATATTTGTAAAGCTGAATATTTTAGTTATGCTATTGCTCTTGAAGTTTAATATTTCTTTTACTTATATTATCTTCGAGTTTATATTACAAGTGAAAGAATTCACATTTAGGTACAAGGAAAAGAAATATTTGTTATGGCCTTAAGGGCCAGTATACATTTCCAAGGCTAAAACAAGTTTCTTTCAAAACATATGCCTTCATGATCTGCTAAGATTCTTTGTGTTATGTCAGTTGTATATATAGATATATATATCAGTTGTAAGTTTCTAAAATAAGTACAAATGTAGTTCTGTAGAACTTGTAGTGAAACTCTTTGCGAGATTGCTATATTGACTGCTGAGTTAATACTGTGGACATCTGGTCCTTATTGATTGGATGAACAGATTTATAAGGCAGAGGATTTTCCGCTTGGTATAATGGCTGAAATATTATACAATATTAAGATATCAGGCATTAGCTCCTGCACTACTCAACACTGGATGCCTGTGAAACAGGGCATACATTTTGTGTATTATTCCTTCAGTCTTCTTGCCTGGCAGATCCCATGGACAGAGGAGCCTGGCAGGCTACAGTCCATGGGGTTGCAAACAGTCGGACACAACTTAATGACGAAACAAGGACAACGATCCTTAGTTCCAAGCCAACTCTGATGCTTTGGTCTAACTTGGGGTAGGTCCATCTGTTTCCACCACCGACCACAGAAACCACTTCTAGGATGGCTGACTCAGGAGTTTTGTTATTAGATTAGACCTAGAGGTAATGGCCTAACTGAATGTCTTTCCCTGGGGCTGCTGAGTAGGGTTTGCAAGTGAAAGAATGACCAGGCCTGAGGGAACCCGCACAGGACCACCCAGACTGAAATGTAACTGAATACCATTCCCTCTCTTCACTCATTTCTGGGAATCTGAGGCTGAATTCAAACCAGGGCAGCTTCTTTGGGGGATAGAGGGCAGATAGCAGGGGCAGGAGTCTGAGAAGCAATATTTATTGCCATCAGACAGTTTATCCTAATTATAATATGTTGATTCTATTTCCTAAAAAAAAATTGGACTGGATATTTTCAAGATAGTCCTTTGGTTTCTTGACTGAAAATCTTGCCTTTTTCTCTTTTATGCCTAAGAATTTTTCCCCAAATTCTCAAAAGGAAAATATGTCAAAGGGACTTAAATAAATGTAGTATTTGTCAAGGTTATGTCTATGAGAGGAAATAATGATTTGTCAGCCTTACATGGAAAATGGGAAAACTGACTGGGATTTAAAACAGAAAGCCTGACTCCAATAAAAATTAATTAAAGAAATAAAATAGAAAGGCTGGCTGTATGTGCCTTTCGGATCTTTGTGTGAGGCCCTGTATATGGCCAGTTTTAAACTGATTAATACACTCTGTTTCTGCATTTAAAAGCGATCCAGCATTCTTTCATTTGTTCCTTAAGGGTTCCATCAGTTACTTAAATACTGATCAATATATTTATATTATTAGCTATAATGGGGCTAGCTATAGTTAGCTATAGTTAGCCCCACTAGTTAGCTATAGTGGGGCAGATCCAGTTTCAGAAATAAATTCTACTGTCATCTATTTCCACCCATCATGTTTGCATAATATAATTGCACACTTATATAGTATCAAAATGGTTCCTAAGGGATATACTCAATAATTGGGATTGGGTAGGACTTTTTTTTCTTCAAAAAGTAAGTAAACTGTGTGTGTGAGGCATATATCCTAGTAGATAGACAGACCCTGCATCTGGAAAATATTCTGGAACAGTCAAATTAATCATTACAAAATGACCAGAGGAGATCAGAGGGATGATTTCTCTTCATTATGCATTTTTCCATGATGTTTGGATTTTCTATCCGTGCACATTTAACATCTTTCTTTTTAGAGATATTAAGACAAATTATTTGGATGGTAGGTTTACGAGCCACTTTAGCTTTATTCTCGATAATTCTCCATATTTTTTTAACTGCATGATATACTTTAAACATCAGAATGTCTGAGAATCCAATTTACCATCACACAAATACATAGCTAAGATTTAGTAAATATGAGGTCCTACTTCAATATTACATTTATTTCATCTTAAAATAACTGAAAACATTGGCCATGGTGGGAGAATGGAATGATGCAAAGGCTCTATTAACAAAAAGCATTTAGGATGAGAAAGTAGCATTATAGGTAGGAAGGAAAACATTTGGGTAATGTGGTCCTAGCAATCTCTTAGGCTGCAGCTGTTTTCAGTTACTTATTTTAGCAGCTGAGGGCCCTTTGAAATCTGCAGTTACTGAATAATTTTTCAGGGATGGATGACTTGAGATACAGTTTCTGCTTTTGCCGTTTGCAACTCACTTGATACAGAAGCATTCTTTTCATCTTTGCTCATGTGTCTTGAGCTCTAGACATAATGACATATTTTCCTTTTTGTTTTTGCTCAGGGATCTGTTGGATGATCCACATATTCCATGCTTTTAGAGGCTGGAGTGATGTTAGAAAAAGCTGCGGTCACTGGACACTCCGTAGCCTGGCTCCCTGGGGATATGCTGCTGTGTGTTTTCCAGGGGTCATTGATCTGTGCTGCGACGTTGCCGTGGTGTCTCAGCAGCTAGAGAACTCTGGTTCCCAGGCTGGGAGGTGGGCCGCACCTGGGACTTCTGTACCTGCATGGCTGTGCCGCAATATGTCTGTGCCTGTGAACCCGCCTCACTAAGTGGGAATGAAGGTGATAACATCAGCACCTGTGGTGTCTACAAGTGACTCACCTCGCAAGACACCAGTCTCTCTGAACAACTCAAGATAATAGGTATCAAGTGGCACTGTTCTGGCCGGTGCACTCAGGTCTACTTGCTTTGGACAGACAAGAAAGTGGAATAACTCATTTCTTTCTGGATGACCTCTTTTGAAAAATGCCTCATTTCATCCTGGTTGGAAGAAACCCCCAATCCACTATGCCAGGAATTTTCTGTGACGAGATTCAACATTTGTGCCCAGGGCTTTGATGTCCAGGAGTGGGGCTACCACTGGAGATCTCATGTGGGCAGCAGGGCACCGCGGTGGGGAAGGAAGCGGTGGCGGCTCCTTGGGGCCCTGCCAACTCCGCTCTGACAGCTCGCCCTAGGGCTGCAGGGGGCTTCTGCTTGGCATGTGACAGACGATCATCCCTTTGTCTTTCTGGTATTGCTTAGTCAGTAAACCTAAAGAGTCCCTCAAGAGTCCCCTAGGGACCAGTTTTCCCCTGGATTTCTGTTTTAGTTGACAAGGAGGAGATATTTTAATTCAAATTCTCCAGTAAAGAATGAGCATATAGAGGACTTCTTTAGTCACGAACCAAATGTGCTGTGAGCTGCGATCATAGGCTCCCCACTGTTTTCACCTACCTTGTTATGTGAATTTCAGCATCGTACAGCAGAGAGAGTTTTAAGTTGACTGAATTATCTGCCATGTTTTCTTCCTGGCTTTCGCTATTGAAAGGAATATTAGCAAATTACTGAAAGAGAAATATTAGAAAAGCCACTTTTCATCAATTCATGACTTCATCATGTTTTACCTTAAGGCTCGGAAACTGATAGATGCCTGGTTCTGAAGATTTTGAAGATTGAAGTCGAAATTAATAGTGAAAGTCACCTATACACAAAATGAAAACTCATCAATCTATGATGATTTGTACTCAGGGACCAACATGAAAAAGAAAGTGTCCCATAAAAGTAAACTCACTCCCATGTGATTCTGAATTTTATGAAACTTAAGTTTTCTAATTTGTAGAATATCTATGTATTTTTCCACCTTGCCTCACCTTCAGAATAGAACTGAATTTACTTAACAAATACATACAGCAGGTCTCATCCTAATGACTCAGTCAGTAAAGAATCTGCCTGCAAAGAAGGAGACTCGGCTTTGATCCCTGGGTTAGGAAGATCCCCTGGAGAAGGAAATGGCAACCCACTCCAGTGTTCTTGCTTGGGAAATCCCATGGACAGAGGAGCCTGGCGGACTAGAGTCCATGGGGTCACAAAGGAGTTGGACGTGACTTAGTGACTAAACCATCACCACCACCATACATATCACAGGCACTAATACTTGTCTGAATTTGCAGGCTTTGTGCTGATGTAAAATCTGCTTACCACCAGGGGTTAACAAATGATATCCATGACTATGTGTAAAGCACTTTGATTGGTGTTGGTCAATGTGTTTAGAAAAAACTCTATGTTGTATGTATCTTTGGAAATGAATTGCACAGGGGGTAATCCCACTTTTATTAATAACTTAAAGCATGCAGATATTTAAAAACTTCCTTTAAATATGCAGCCAATTATTTTGTGGTGCCTCTCAAATGATGACACTTAATAAAGAAAGATGGTTCACTGGTGAATTAACACCAATGATGAGAAGGGGCCAGCATGGATTTGGGGATGAAATGGAAGTTGTACCTGTTGTTTGCTCTTTAAAGCAGGGTAGCCCACATTGCAGGTAACAGACTTCTGAGATGAAGCAATCTGGCAGGTCACTTCTGTCCCATCAACCTGAATGAGACCAGAGAGGCAATGATCAATTTTTTTCAATGTCTGTATGTGCGCTCATGCACATATGTGCCAAAAGAAATATAAACCACCTAGACATTTTAGCAGTGAGGTTGTGTTCACACCAAGACTTGAAAATCTATGTATTGTCCAGATGGCTAACATCTATTTTTATTGCTAGACAGGTCACCCAACAAAACAAACAAGTCAGATACTGAAATTTCCCCCAGAAATAAATCATATGTCATATTTCAGAAGCACAAAATAAATTTAATCCACCATTTAGAAATGCTGTCTTTAATACATACCTTTCTCTCAATATATTTGAAAGTTGTAGTTTCAAGAGAAAAGCAAATAAAATACAGCTTTTGTTTATATTTTAAATAACTTAAAAGAATAATCTTTAGATTTCCTCAGGATTCTTCTCTTTAAAATAAGAAGCTGTCATTTGGCAGAAGAAATTTAAACACTAAAGTCAGAATTGGTGTAGAACACTAGATCTATTAAGTTCACAATGACTTGAAACTGGATGAAACCATTTTTAAAATCCTTTCATCAAGTAGTGAATTTGGAAAACCTCAGTTTTTCCCTTCTCTCCTTTTCACTGCTTGGTGGCAGAGGGACCGGGGGGCATTCATGGTCAAGGGTGTTCCTGGTATAGCGATCAAGTCAACATGATTAACTGACCTCACTGGAATGCGTTATCTTGGCAGCAGCAAGACCTGTGGTTACAAAGTTTGGGCTGAGCTGTGGGACTCTAATTTCTGAGAGCAAGTGCAACTCCCAGCATCTGTGCAGCTCCACGGCAGCCTCATCGCACAGATGGCTTGAGGAGAGTTTACGGTAGAGTCTGGCTGCAACCGCCAAGCGTCAGGTCAAAGGAAAACTCTGATCCAAGCCATGAAGCTGAACTGGTCTAGATATGCAGCCAGGCTATGTTCTCAAGTAGTTTAACTAGCTGGGAGCCACAAGGAGTTTCTTCAGAAAACACAGAGGACCTGGAAATTTGAGTAGAAGGAAGACTAATTGACAACAAAAATAGCAGTTCACACCAGAGCGCCTTCACATACCGGCATGGACCAGGAAGCAAAAAACAGGTTTTCTGAAAAATCAACAACAATCTCAGTGTTGTAGGCACTTTCCTTCTTGTTTTCCAGTTTGACTGAAAATGTTAACCTTTTGTTCTGGTTGCTGACAATGAAGGGCTGTTGTCTGTTAACAGTAAAAAGGAGAAAAAAAGTCATCGCAGTTTTGTTTTCTTTTTTTAAGTCAGCATTCAAATACTTTACTCATTTAAAAAATAATTTTTATATGGAAGAGAGAAGTTGAAATTTATACTTTTTATATTGAAGTATAGTTGATTTATAATATTAGTTTCATGTGTACAATAGAGTGATTGAATCTTTTTATAGATTATATTCCATTGAAATTTATTACAAAATAATGACTATATTTTGTTGTGTTGTACAATATATCTTTGTTACTTATCTATTTTACATTTATATGATATTAATAGCTTGTATCACCTAATTACATACCTCTATCGTGCTGCGATTCATGGGGTCGCAAAGAGTCGGACGCGACTGAGTGACTGAACTGAACTGATCTTGCCCCTTCCTCCTTCCCTCTGCCCACTACTAGTTTATTATTTTTCTATTTCTGTTCCGTTATATACATTTGTTTTGTTTTTTAGATTCTCTATATGAGTGAAACAGAATATTTGTCTTTCTCTGACTTATTTCATGAAGTAAAATACCCTCTAGGTCCATCTACATTATTGCAAATGGCAGAATTTTATCCTTTTTTTATGGCTGAGTAATATTATATTATATTTATAAACGTGTATACCTAAATATGTGTATACATGTGTGTGTTACATCTTCCTTTATCCATTCATCTATTGATGGACACTTAGGTTGCTTCCATGCCTTGACTATTGTACACAATGCTGCTATAAACATTGGGGTACGTCTATCTTTTCGAATTAGTGTTTTTGTTATCTTTGGATGCATGTCCAGGAGTAGAACTGCTAGACCATATGATAGTTCTATTTTTAGTTTTTTGAGAAACCTCCATACTGTTTCCCATAGTTGGCTGCACCAGTTTACATTCCCACCAACAGTGTAAGAGAGTTTGATTTTCTCCACATCCTCACTAACATTTGTTATTTATGTTCTTTTTGATGACAGCCATCCTGCCAGGTAGGAAATGGCATGATACCTCATTATGGTTTTGATTTGCATTTCTCTGATGAGCATTTTTATGTGCCTGTTGGCCACTTGTATGTCTTCTTTGGAAAAATGTCTATTCAGGTCTTCCTATTTTATTTTTTATTCCTATTTTTTAAATCAGGTTTTTGGTTTTTTGACATTCAGTTGTACAAGTTGTTTATATATTTTGGATATTAAACCCTTAGCGGTCACATCATCTACAAATATTTTCTCCCATTCAGTGGGTTATCTTTGTTTTGTTAATGGTTTCCTTTGCTGTGCAAAAGCTCTTAAGTTTAATTAGGTCTCACTTGTTTATTTTTGTTTTTATTTCTTTTGCTTTCAGAGACAGAGACAGAAGAACTACTGCTACAATTTATGACAAAGAGTATTCTCCCTCTGCTTTCTTCTAGGAGTTTTGAGGTTTCAGGTCTTATATTTAGGTCTTTAATCCATTTTGCATTTATTTCTGTATCTGGACAAGAAAATGTTCTAATTTTATCTTTTTTACATGTAGCTGTCCAGTCTTCCCAGAACCACTTATTTAAGGGACAGTCTTTCCTCCATTGTATATTCTTGCCTTTGTTGTAGGTTAATTGACCATAGTAGATGGGTTTATTTCGGGGCTCTCTATTCTGTTCCATTGATCTATATGTCTGCTCTTGTGCCCAAACCATGCTCTGTTGATTACTGTAGCTTTAAGGCATAACCTGAAGATACTTCCAACTTTGTTCTTTTTTATCAAAATTGCTTTGAAAATGTGGAGTCCTTTGTGGCTCCATATCAATTTTAGAATTATCTGTTCTGGTTCTGTTAAAAAACATCATGGATATTTTGAGTGGGATTGCATTAAATCTGTAATTTGGTGTGGACATTTTAACAATATTAATTCTTCTAATCCAAGAACACAGGATATCTTTCCATTTCTCTGGATTATTTTCAAATTCTGTTATCAACATTTTATAGTTTTCAGAGTATAAGTCTTTCACCTCCTTGGTTAAGTTTATTTCTAGATACTTTGAAATTTAGATTTTAAGGATTTTTAGGAGTTATGACATTTCTTTTGTAGAAAAAAATTTCCATAAACAATCACTTGAATAAAGTAATCTAATCTTTTATTTCTACAATTTTCACTGTGCTTTAAAGTAAAACTTACTGAGTAGCTGGCAGCTGCTGAACATTTAGAACTAGATCAGAAATGCAAACTCCATCATCACCACAGTCTTTATGGAAAGGGATCTACAAAAAAAGAGAAAAACAACCCCAGAAATTTGATATTGAGTTAAACAAGCAAATTGTAGAAGAACACATAATAGTATTATTCCATTTACATAAAGTTCAAAACCTTGTGAAACTAAACCATATTTTAGAAATATATACATGTTTAGCAACATCAGAAAGAAAAACATTGATAAATGCAAAATTCAGGATGGTGGTGCTCCCTAGGGGTGCAGGATAAAACTGGATATGATAGAGTATGGAGTGATACAGAGAATTTCAGAAAATTTTACCATTTTATTTTTTTAAAATGGTTGTGAACACAAGGTGTTCCCTTTATTGTTATTTATTTCTTCAATAAGCATTTACTGAGCACCTATGGCAGGGCAAGCACTACTCACAGTGCTGGAAATAGAGCAGGGAACAAGGAAAACAAAAATCCCTATCTTCATGGAACTTACCTACTGGTGAACTTTCCATAAGTAACTGTACTTCAATTAGAAAATTACCAACTTAGGCTATGTCCTAAGTATCTTTCAAGCACTAAGGCAGTGACTAAAACTTTGCCAGCTAGTCGGGAATTCCAAGAAAGGCAAGCCGCACTTACACTGAAGACCTTGACCGTCTCAGAGTAGGCTTCAAGGGCAGGGTTAGTGCCAGGGTTTTCCAGACTGATATTCATACACAGATTCAGAGGGCTGATAGTATCAGAGGGCTCCTAAACACACACAGAGTTAGTGGATTAGGGCATGGCAGCTTCAAACAAGAAAATGACCACACATGTGCTCACAATTAAACACACAGTCCACTCTTGATCATGCAGAATAGCTCTGTTTTAAACTTTCAAGGCTCTTGCTCCTTCACTTCTATCCTAAGTCTGCTGTTAGCCTCTCCGCTTATAAGAGACTTCTAACTTGGGCTCAGTAAAAATCTGAAGCAGTGATTCTTAGGTAAACTCATCAGTCATTTCATTATTTATATAATGATCAATATTTAGATAAGATATCCAGTTTTCAATGCTCAGAAGATCCCTCTTTCAGTACCCAGCTCTTGGGTTGTTGGCCATGTTCTTTCCATTCCTACTGCCAAGGCTTTTGGCATCTACAGGTGTCCTGACCAGATCTCTGGAAGAGAATATTATGACCTGGAAGGGAAAGTGCCCAGGGTTCATTGTCAGGAATGGACAAGGGAACACCCCTTCCTAGACTCCAGTCTACAAAACCAGGTGAAAGTGCTTCCCATACTCGAAACTAAGCTCCCCAGTTTCCAGCCTAGCTGTTAGGGCTCTTTCGCATGCAGAAGATGATGCACGTATCACTGAGCAGGCGTTAAAACCAGCTCCGTCCGGCTGTAAGTAGGAGAGCTCCTCTTTGTCTCTAGTCAAGATGGTGGAGGATTTGCAATGCTCCAAGAGGCCTGGGCTGCTTCTAGTTTTTGAGGTTTTCCCGTCTATTGAACAATGAAAATAATGCCAAATCAGGGCTGCAGACACCATCTAGCATTCTTCTTCAAGAAAGAAGAATGCCTGTACATTGGTTAAGCACTAAAAATCAAATTTTCCTTTTTTTAGGAGTGATATCTTTATCTCAACAGGACTTCCGTCTTGAGCCCTTTGGACAGGGGGTGGGGGGTGGGGGCAGTGACTTCCTGACTGCAAGGAAATGTATCCTCAGCTACAGAGTTGGCACATAGGATGGACTTTGGTATTGATAGCAAATACAGTGTTACCTGGAACAATACCTCTCAGCTGACCACAATAACACACACCTTGTAAAAACTTCACAAGTACACATGGGGGAGAATAGGAGATGTGTTTATACACATGTAGTAGTTTGGCCACTCAGTCATGTCTGACTCTGTGACTTCATGAACTGTAGCCTGCCAGGCTCCGCTGTTCATGGAATTCTCCAGGCGAGAATACTGGGGTGGGTTGCCATTTCTTTCTCCAGTTTATATATATACATACATACACCACATCCTGGCTGTCTTACTTCCCCCACAATGGATTACATGTTTAATTTGACCCACCACTTAGCACAAGGATAAGAGAGAATGGAAGCTGGCTTTTATTCCTTTAAAGAAGCTGTATAACTGGCACATTATCAACAAAAGATGTCGAGGCCTTCACAAAGAAGGAAACTTCAACTCGAACAATAAATTACTCAACTGATTTTAGTTCAACCAACTCTTCGTTCTTCAATTCTTAGAACTTATTGAGATGTGATTTCTGTATCATCCATCTACTTGAGAAATGTCTGGGGATGCCACTTAGACATAGTCCCTGGATCTGAAGGGAATTTCTGGTGGGGGGGGGGGATGCTTCCAGCATACAGATCTTATAAAAGTTTCTTTGGCAATTCTTATGTATCTTATACTTTGAGAACCACATTCGAGGAAAAGTTCTTAAATAGCTCTTATAAAAATTGTTTCCTGAATAAATTATACTTTAAATACCATAACCTGGCTTTTTGGGGGGAAATAGTCATATAATTTATAAGATAAGCTTTTTTAGAAATTTTCTTCTGAGAAGCACTTTTTCTACTTTGGAGAATTTAAAAATCCATGTGAACTGTAGTAATTATGGCATAAGATTAGAGCAAAGAGTTTTTACCTCATAATCTACCATCCTTCACCTACATCAATTTAAATCCAAAAATGAAAAGGGAAATTAGAGTTATTCTTTTCAATCACTTAAAAATAAATAAATATTCTCCTGATATGAAAATGTCAATATAAAATTTACTGTCAACTAAAAGTTCTTCCTATTAAACATTTAAGAAAGCACTGTCTTTGATTTTTAGCCCTTTTACTTGCCATCCCAAGTAAAACTTAATGCAACTAACTTACATAATAGCATGTGACCATATAGATTAGTGTAAAGGAAATATACTCCTATTCATAGACCAAAAAAAAGCACTAATTAGAAGAGCAAGGGTTCTTCTCACTCATAAGCCTCCAATTCAGGCTTTCACCATTCATTAGTCTTTAAAAAGAAAGGAGATGAAAGAGATGACTCCGAGGCTCACCTGTATGTGGATGATGTACTCAGAACAGCGCTGTGCTTGACTTACTATCATGGTCTTCTGCAAGCACCTTTCATTATTTTCCTTAAATAACCCCCTGGACATCACTCTGGATGAAAACTGGTCTTCATCTATTGTGATGTTATACACAATGGCTATAATAAAAATCATAAAGAAATGTCATTACAAATACATTTTAAAGGAAAAAGCATTCCTGTTTTATTGTGTCTTACTGGGTTAAGTCTCTGACTACAAGAAAACAAAAGCCAGTCTTCCTTTTGATGGACTGTGAACCATGGCTAGCCTGTGATATTTGTAACTGCAGCTCTGGTATGATGTACGTTGACTGTGGACACAAAGAAATGTGATTCAAAGAAATGTGATTTGATGCAGTAGAAGGAAAAGTAGACTTGCCACTGGGAAATCTACTGAATGAAGTTGGTCAAATTATTTCCCCAAATAACAATTTCATCGTCCATAACATGGTGACATGAAAAGGAAAGGAATTATTATTGAGGGCCTACATTTGAACACATTCTTATATGTTATGTAAGTTTTACAATAAACCTGGAACATGGATATTATTATCCTATTTTTCAGATAATTAACAAAATATTATTCTGTTTTTCAAAATAATTCACCTCAGCTCACACAGCTAGGGCATGGTCAGAAGTAAAGTTTGAGTAATTCTGAAACCAGACCCCATGTTCCTACTATTTCTATGCAGTTTAGAGGATTCACTGTTATTTGAGAATTAAATCAGATACTCTAAGGCGAAATGTACAGTGCCTTGCATATTCCAAAAGCTTACTTGGGGGAAGTCATGTTACACTGCAATAACAAGTGTTGAATCAGACAGATTTGTTTTGAATCTTAATCTCATCATTGACAAGCTTTAGGCAATTTTCTTAATCTCCTAGAACCTCCATTTCTTCATCTATAAAACAGAGATAATAATACTAACATAGGGAAATGGAAATAAGAAACATATGTGATAAAAACTGATGTCAGTAGCTAATGTCCAACTATCAGAACTTTCAATAAAATCTGTTGGCTACCCATCCAACACTGAGAAGATCTGATACTATTAGTAGCATCAACTGCATTACTTAGGATTATTCTGTTTTATTATTTCCAAGAATTGATGTTTTTGAACTGTGGTATTGGAGAAGACTCTTGTGAGTCCCTTCGACTGCAAGGAGATCCAACCAGTCCATCCCAAAGGAAATGAGTCCTGAATATTCATTGGAAGGACTATGCTGAAGCTGAAACTCCAATACTTTGGCCACCTGATGTGAAGAACTGACTCATTGGAAAAGATCTTGATGCTGGGAAAGATTGAAGGCAGGAGGGGAAGGGAACGACAGAGGATGAGATGGTCGGATGCCATCACCGACTCAATGGACATGAGTTTGAGTAAACTCTGGGAGTTGGTGATGAACCGGGGGGCCTGTCATGCTGCAGTCCATGGGGTCGCAAAGAATCAGACATGACTGAGCAACTGAATTAAACCAAGAGTTTAAAGGTTAACTATACTTCCAAAAGCATTCTATATGTGACCTTTCAAATACCTACTAGAAGTGATGTATAATTTTTCTTGCTCTGAATACTTCATGAGGTTAACAAAGATAAAATACAAACGAATCAAGAACTACAAATAAGTAGTGAAAATAGCACAAAGGAAAAGCAATGGCAGGTAAGTGATGGCAGCCAGGACAAAGTTAGTACATGTGGAATGACAATATTTCATTTTTTCCAAAGTGATACATAGTTACATAGGCAATATGATAATCCTTTTTATGTTATTAACTTCAAGCTGGAGTGCGCATCTGAAGCAATAAATAATAGAAGTCACATGCTGTGTAAATTGACTTTTCAAAGTCACAGAGATGGGATTTCTCTCTTACACACTATTATTGCCAGGCAAGTAAGTGACGAATGATCATGACCATGTGGACCTAAGGCATCAAGAAGAGGATTCAAAGGGAAAAGCACCCAATGGTGAGAGACCCTAGACAACAGGTGGGAGGGAATAAAATCCTCTGAAAGCAGAAAATGCCTTTCAAGTGCATGGTAACAGAAGAGGCGGAGTACAGTCCAAAATTGGGAGGAAGAAGCTTGAGACAAACCCATGCTTCAGGGCCAGCAGAGGTTACCTACCTGTCATTTCCACCAATGAATAGATTTTCCAAATTAACTTTTTATATTTAATGTCTTATTCCTCCAGTTTCATTAAGATATCATCGATATATAACATTGTGTAAGTTTAAAGCATACAACATAGTGATTTTATACATTGCAAAACAATTACCACAATAAGGTGCTTAACATACCCATCACTTCACAAAGTTACAATTTCTTGTGTGTGGTGAGAACTTTTAAAATCTAGTCTCTTATAACTTCATACAATACAGCATTATTGACAAAAATCACCATGCTGCACATCCTATCTAGCCATTTCATGTTCAGACAGTAATGGTTTCCAACTCGACTTTCATGGCTGCTCAGATGAATGTGCTAAAAGGCAGGTGTGTGAAAAATGCTCCTCAGAGGTGGGTCAGGGTTTGAACACTTGAAAGGAAAAATGCCAGATGAATATGAAAAATAGGAAATATGGAAGGCGTGTCAAGACGTTAATATAACTTTGTGTTCCTAGCCTTCTTATTTCTTCTATAAATCATGACAACTTGCCTCTATATTTTTACCCTTTAAGTTAATTTGTTCACCACCTAGTAAAATAGCTGTAGTCAATCCTAACAGAAATCAACCCTGAATATTCACTAAAAGGACTGATGCTGAAGCTGAAACTCCAATACTTTAGCCACCTGAAGCAAAGAGTCGACTTATTAGGGAAGACTTTGATGCTGGGAAAGATTGAAGGCAGGAGGAGAAGGGGACAACAGAGGGCGAGATGGTTGGATGGCATCATCGACTCAACGGACATGAGTTTGAGCAAGCTTCGGGAGATGGTGAAGGACAGGGAGGCCTGGAGTGTTGCAGTCCATTGGGTTGCAAACACTCAGACACGATGAATGACTGAATAACAAGGAACTACAGGTTTCTGAAAATTAGAGCCAAAATCTGATGGAGAGGGTATATATGCATAACTGAGTCACTTTGCTATACAACAGTAAGTAACACAACATTGTAATTCAACTACACTTCAATTTAAAAAAATCTGATGAAAAGGATGAGGACCCACGAAACAGCAGCAAATGAAAGAAAGTAGTATTGGATTAAGTGCTAAAAATCAATGGTTACATATTGAAGGAACTGAGATAACTGGTGCAGGAGAGATGGAGGTGAGATGCAGTGCTTAGAAAGACTTCAGGGACATGGAGGACCTCAGCCAGGCTGCCAAAGACAACTGGACCAATCCAGAGAGAGTAAGACTGCCCACAGTCTTCCTTACTCTCAGACTTTCCCTCACTTCACTGGATTATTTGTTGTTATTGTTGAGTCACTAAGTCATGTCCAGCTCTTTGCAACCTCATGGACTGCAGCACACCAGGTTTCTCTATCCTTTGCTATCTCCCTGAGATTGCTCAAACTCATGTCCATTGAGTTGGTGATGTCATCCAGCCATCTCATCCTCTATCGTCCCCTTCTCCTCCTGCTTTCACTCTTTCCCAGCATCAGAGTCTTTTCCAATGAGTCAGATCTTTGCATCAGGTGGCCAAAGTACTGGAGTTTCAGCTTCAGCATCAGTCCTTCCAATGAGTATTCAGGGTTTATTTCCTTTAGGATTCACTGGTTTCATCTCTTTGCTGTCTAAGGGACTCAAGAGTCTTCTTCAGCATCACAGTTCCAAAGCATCAATTCTTTGGTGCTCAGCCTTCATTATGGTCCAACTCTCACATCTGTACATGACTACTGGAAAAACCACAGCTTTGACTATATGGATCTTTGTTGGCAAAGTGACATGTCTGCTTTTTAATATGCTGTCTAGGTTGCTCACAACTTTTCTTCCAAGGAGCAGGCATCTTTTAATTTCATGGCTGTAGTCACCATCTACAGTGATTTTGGAGCCCAAGAAAATAAAATCTTTCACTGTTTCCACTGTTTCCCCATCTATTTGCCATGAAGTGATGGGACCGGATGCCATGATCTTCATTGTTTGAATGTTGAGTTTCAAGCCAGCCTTTTCACTCTCCTCTTTCACATTCATCAGGAGGCTCTTTAGGTTTCTCTTTGTTTTCTGCCATTAAAGTGGTATTATCTGCATATTTGAGGTTGTTGATATTTCTCCCGACAATCTTGATTCCAGCTTGTGATTCATCCAGCTTGGCCTTTCACATGATGTACTCTGCATAGAAGTTAAATAAGCAGGGTGACAATATACAGCCTTGACATACTCCTTTTCCAATTTTGAACCAGTGAGTTGTTCCATGTAAGGTTCTAACTGTTGCTTCTTGACCTGCATACAGGTTTTGCAGGAGGTAGGTAAGGTGGTCTGGTATTCCCATCTTTTAAGAATGTTCCACAGTTTGTTGTAATCCACACAGTCAAAGGCTTCAGTGTAGTCAATGAAGCAGAAGTAGATGCTTTTCGGGAATTCCCTTGCTTTCTCTGTGATCCAATGGATGTTTGCAATTTGACCTCTAGTTCTTCTGCCTTTTCTAAATCCAGCTTATACATCTGAAAGTTCTCGGTTCACATAATAGATTATTTAGAAAATATAAAACACTGGGCACAAATTATACATTGTTTTATACTTTCTCTCTCATTATTTCATGCTTCTTAAATTTTCAAGAATAGAAATATTTTATCCTCATGCTGAACACACTCTATTATGGCATAGCCAACTCCCCATGGACTCATCTAATATGGACTCAAGTTCAATTTAATTTGCATGTGCCCATGGTTTTATGTTAGGAAGGTATGGGTAAGAGAAACTTAAAGGACAGACTAAAAGAGGCCACAATTATGTCACTGATTTCATGACTTTCTGCAGCAGAATGTGACCTTCTAAGGATGACAGAGGAAGGTCTAAAACACCTTCCACACCTAATTAACCATTCTCAGGCACCTCAAATATATGGCAATTCAAGTGTCTGCAAAACCCTTGTTTCTTTTGGTTTCCATAGCCCAAGCATAGTTTAAATCAGGACTGAAACTCTATAAGCAAAACTATCTCTTGTGCAGATTATTTCATGTTTACTCACCCACTTGATTGTTTTGATTAGTAGGTCTAAACTTAGCACTGAAGCAGAGTTTAAGTTTTATCTCAGCATTTTTGTTGAGCAAAGTGATTTTTTTTGGTGTGAATGAAGCATCTACAGATACATCAGCAATGCTCTGTGACCTGAAAGACCAATGTTTAAAAAAAATTATTCTCAGGAAGCTACCCAGAAAAACTAGTCTTAGCACCTTGTAGGAATGTGACCACAAAACAGCATTAACCTAGCTTAACTGCTCCCCTCAAAAAATGGGTTTGACTCCTTGTGTCTTGACTTTTTAGATGAATCAAACTCACCTTCAAAGAAAAGAGTTTGGCCATCATGGGCTATCTTAAAAGGGAATGTCACAGTATAGGAAGTATATGGCCTACCACGCATGAGGTCTACCAAGGTGGCCACAGGGTGAAGCTCACTGAAAGGTATGACTTCTTACAAAACTGTTTCCAAAGCAGCCATATAATTATGTCATCACACCTTGTATTTTTCTAATGCTACTCTTAACTGATTTTATTCAGTAAATATCTTTTCTTTTTTTCAAAGCCTTAAATATTACATTTGAGTTTTATTTCTTCCACAGGAAGATTTCATTAAAATGATGCACTAAGGCAGTGGTCCCCAACTTTTTTGGCAGCAGGAACTGGTTTCGTGGAAAACAATTTTTTCACGGACTGCAGAGGCGAGGGAGATGGTTCACACCAGTAACGGAGCAGCAGATGCAGCCTCATCTGCTCACCTCCTGCTGTGTGGCCTGGTTTCTGACATGGACTAGTGGTTGGGGACCTTCGCACTAAGGGACTCCTCTGGTGGTCCAGTGGTTAAGGCTCCGTGCTTCCACTTCAAGGGGCACAGGTTCAATCCCTGGTGGAGAAACTAACAACCTGCTTGTCGTGTGCTGAAAGAAAAATGATGCACGAAAAACAATGCCTTTCATCCTTTAAAAGCACAAGTGAGATATTGTAAATAGTTTCATTGAACTCAGAGTGTGATTTACTCAATACCCAATTTCTTTCTGTTCTTCACATACTTGGACATTTAAAGCATATTTTTCAACAGACATGTATGGATAACTGAACTATATTTTCTTGGATACTCCTGACAGAATTCTGTTTCTCTCTGGTTCCATTCCTTCACCAGCCCAATATATTTATTTTTACCCTTACTCACTTGGCTCTTGAATCCCTTATCGTTCCCCCCTGCTCTTCAACTCCTCCTGAGGTCAATGAGAGGTCAGCTAAACCTAAATAATGGCTTCTTGTTTATGACTAATAATTGTAAAAGATACCTTTTAACCACAGGAGAAGTTGTACTTCACTTGTGTGGCCTTGGTATTCAGTATTTTTAGAGCATTCTCATGAGAATTCTTTTCTACAAGTTGAGGTAATAAAAAGATAATAATCAGAAATATCCTTAATACCATTTCAAGAGCTTTATCTTTTCAATACACTTTTTCTGTTCATTTTAAAGAGGAGAGAGACTTGGTTCTAATGTTAAGCAAGTACTTTTTTTTCCTACCAGGAAAAACATACTCCTTCCTCTATGCAAACTATGACATACAAATGTCTTAGAGTGTTATATAATGCCTGTGACATTTTCACAATACTAGCAAAGCAATCTGCTCTACTTAGCAGGCCATGTGTTCGTTAACTAGTTTGTGTCTGGCTCTCAATGACTCACCAGAGCTGAACGACCTGTCCAAAGGCCCCCACGGACACATCGGTGATGGAATCCCCATTTAAATCTCCATAGCCATCCAGGGATCTCCCAAAGTACTGGAGGTGGCTACTAAAGGCTCTGTCGGACCCCAAGATTTTCTAAAAGAGCAAGTTTGAGATGAAATTATAGCTCGTGACAACTGAAACAGAAAAAAGCATCTACATTGCCCTGGTATATTCTTTCTATGGCCATTTCTCAGATTGTTTTATTCTCCACAGAACTCCATTGATTTTTCATAGCTCATCTGATCTGATTATTATTCTTGCAACCACATTTTCATCAAAGCAAACAGCATGACTCACATAAAATAACCAGCCAGTACCAAGCAGTGAGAGATCAGCGAACTGGAGAAGAACTGATGCAGGTTTGGGTCCTGATTCCTCTCCTAGCTCATTTCCTTCAGATCTTTACTCAAAAGCTGCTTCTGAGTGAGGTTTTCTTGGTCACTCACTCAAATACTTGATACCTCCTAGCCCTGAAAATTTATTCCGTATTTTAGTTTTTAAAAAATTCCTTATCATTTACTACTCTCTGGAATACTTTTCTTACTTATCTTCTTTCCCTCTGTCTCCTTCACAAGAATGAAAGATCCATACAAAGCACAATTTTGACTATCCTGTTCTTTACAGTATTCCCAGAGTCTAGACAGAGCTTGACATACAGTAGGGGTTCACTAAGTATCTGATGAATAAGTGAATTAGGTTATAAAGTAAGAGGGATGGATTGGATGGTCCACATAATACTCTTTAGCTCTAACACAATGTAACTCATTCACGTGTAAACAAACTACCATAAAACTGTGGATTACCTGAGAATACCTCAAGCGAATCATGCCCTCATGACCGTTGTAGATGTACACAGCTCCAGAGTTCTGATTTTCCAAAGGTGAGCCAACAATCACGTCATTAAAGCCATCCATGTTGATGTCTGAAAGAGCTGCAATTGCTGAACCAAATCGAGCATTTTCAAGACCCTTGGGGCCTTCCAGAAATTGGTGCCAATTCAAAATGCCCTTGCAGAGAGGGAAAAAGGGGACAATTAAAGCCAACCTTACATTAATAAATACATACTACTATGTATTTATAGTAGTATAAATATAGGTATAAAATAGATAACCAAGGACGTATTGTATGGCACAAGGAATTATATTCAATAGTTCTAGTTACCTAAAAAGGAAAAGAATCTGAAAAAGAATCTATCTATCTACATACCTACCTATGTACAAATAAATCACTGTGCCATACTGAAAATAAGGTCATAGGCTATCTGCTCATAAACCAAGGTGAAAAGAAGCAATTCTTTTATGTAGGCTGGCTGCACAACCTACATAAGAGTGTCCATTTCTTTGTTTTTCCCCCTTAATATTAGGATCTTCACTCATCTGTTTTCAAATTTTTTTATTTAAAAAATTTCTGGTAAAAATCTACTAAACTCTACAATAAAATTAAGGTAGAAACAAATAAAACACAATATCTTAATTTAGTCTTTTACTTAAAAGCTATTGAACAACAGTGGCATAATTATAATGGTATAGGAAGTGAAAGATGAGATTGTTAATAGTCCATTATATAAAACACTGAATATTTCTGCCAAAGAAAAGACATTTTCCTGTAAAAGATACAATTGTGGGCTCTTTTTTTTTGTTGCAGATTTTGAAATCAAGAATGGAACTATTTCATGACTTCATAAGAAAGCAATGCTCTTCAACCATGAAACTGAGTCTGTTTTGATTCTTTCTCCTCTATAATAATCTTACAGAAATTAATTTATTACTGAGTCTGGTAAAATACTGGAAGATCATTTCACCTTTAGCAATTAATAATATTCAGAATATCTGACTAGCAAGAAACATTTAAGAAGTTGGGGATTTGTTAAATTTTCAAACTAGTAGATACACTCTTCCCTTATTAAATACTTAATTACACTTTCTTTATATGCTTTAAAATTGTTTTAATTGCTTCTGTTTAAGGGCTAAGTGTTATTTTTTGTTGTTGTTTGTTATTTTTTGTTGTTATATTAATTTAAATAAATAAGGTAGGACAAAATATTGAAACAGTGAAATATAACATTTACTACATTAATATCAGCTTCTCTTTTTCCATCCTTTCCTTATCTAGCCATCTAACCCTCTATGTCAATCTATGCCTTTACTTTTAGTTTTCTTTTCAGGTTTCACTAAGCTAACTATAATTGTGTGCATGGATTTAGAGATTTAAGTCTGTAAGTTGGAAAAACTAGGCTTTTCCATGTTAGAGTATGCTCAATTCTATGTGCAAGAACTGGAATTCCCAAGATTTGGATATATACATAAATGTTACACCAAGCAATGGAATTTTCTGACAAACTAATGTAGAAATTGTACAGGATTATATGGCTATTTCTAAAGTGCCTGGTACAATTTGTCCTTACCATTGTAAAATGTCAACAAAGCAGCTTTGCCTTGCTATTGTTATATCTTTATAGCAAAGAAGAATAATTGAATGAGATATTTGGGAAATACACAGATGTATATGCATGTGTGTATGTATTTCAAAAAACAACATGCATTTATAATAACTTTATTTGTAAAGAAACTATGTATTCAAAGACCTCCTGTGGAAGATGGCAGGACATTATACATTAAGGTCTAGGTTATGCTTTTCAATGTGATTTTTAAAACTGTAACTTAATGGTGACATCCATAAGCCATACTTTTATTCAATAATAAACATTCTTTAATCTGTAAAAATGAAGATTCACTTTTATTTATCAATACTAAAGCAAATCAAAGGAAATCAGTTTAATAATTTTTTTTTACCTTTGTGATAGTAAACAGGTAGACTCTTCCTTCCTCTTTCTTCAGGTCATTCATGTACATTGGCGCACCTACCAAGAGCACATCTGTAACGGTGTCCTTATTCACATCAACTGCACACAGCACACTACCGAAATAGGAGCCAATCTGGAGGAATAAAGCATATCAACACTAGGATTCTTCTACTCTTAGTATTACACTAAACTTTTATTTACTCATTCAACAAGCAAAAATTGAGCATCTATTGCCTGTAAGGTGCTAGGAACATAAAGATAGATAACATCACCCCTTCTTTCTGTTTGTGTCACAATCTAACACTTGTTTCTTAGCACTTAGTGTGCACAAAAATCACCAAAAAAAGCACCTGTAAAATACAGATTCCCAAGAGCCATTTCCAGAGATTCTGATGCAATGTCTATTGGGCAATCAAGAAAAAAGTATTTTAAATAAGCACTCCAGGTATTTCTTATGCTGGTGGGTAAAAGACCACACTTAAGGGACACTTAGAAGCTTTATGAGATGTTGTAGACAAAGGCAGGCAGGGGAGAGGGAGGTTGAACAAATAACAGGACTTCTGTGATAAAACATAATAGAAAGTGAAAGTGAAAGTGTTAGTCACTCAGTCATGTCCAACCCCATGGACTGCAGCCCATCAGACTCTGTCCATGGGATTCTCCAGGCAAAAATACTGGAGTGGGTTGCCATTCCCTTCTCCAGGGGATTTTCCTGACCCAAAGATAGAACCCAGTCTCCCACATTGCAGGAGGATTCTTTACCATCTGAGCCACCAGGGAAGACCATAAACTTTAAAATACTAAAGAGGAGGAAAATGTATGACCACAGTGGATTTGTGGTCAAGGAAGTCAAAGACTCAGATCTTCTTCCTCCAGGAAAATCCATATAGACAGTGAATCAGATTTAATCCCAGAGAAGGGAAATCTGTAGATAATCAGTTTCTCTGATTTAAGGAAGAAAATTTTCTGTTAGTTGTTGGAGTACAGTGATGTGCATTTCAAATATGTGCTAAGTTCAGGAGTCAAAACTACTTAGCAAGAAAATAGGATTCTATAGGCTGGCTTTTGTTCTCGTGGACCATGACTGGGAGGCATCACCGGTCCTCACTACCAAACTGCCACACATCAGAAGAAAGTGACAGAAGAGAGCTGCTTTACTTTTAGAAATGTCCAACTTTTTGACATTTAGAAATGTCAGAGCCACGGGATACCTTTACAGGCCCAGATGTCCTAGCTCAGTCTAATGGGATACTGCTCCCTTTGTCTACTCGTTCCTTCTCCAGATCCTCGGTTCCTGTTGGAGCTTGCCTACAAAGCAGTGGTTAGGTGTCTGTCATCACTGGGCTCTAATGACAACTCAACCCCATGAAAGCTATGTAGCCTTAGGTAGTTACTCTCAGCAGTTAGTCAACAGGGGATGGTACATCTCAGTATTGTTATTTGAGGAATATTCAAGTAAACACAAACCACAGAGGCAGCTACAGGGTGGGCACTCAATAAATGTTAATTTCCATTTCTACTGACTCCTCCCTTCCCACAAGCCCCGGTTGTCCATGAAATTAATTTCACCTGCTTAAACAACGGAATTTACCTGGTCACCTCTGTGAGATTGAATAACTGTGACATTGCCATTCTCATTAACACTGTATAGCACTATCTGGCCCGTATAATTTGCTCGAGGAGCACCAGCAACAAAGTGGACACTGTTCCCAGTAGAAATTGAAGCCACAGAGTAACCTAGGAGAGAAGGGGTTACAGAGTAGGTACTGTTGAGTATCTTGGCCAGATAAGCTTGTGAAGCTAGCAGAGATGATCAGAGGTCCCTTTGGTTAGTGTGATGCAAAGCTGCTCATGCTCCTGAGTATAACATGAAGGTCACATCCTCTTCCTTTTTCTAAGATGAACTGATTGTGCACTTTGGCTGGAAACTCTGCCTGTGGAGGTGGAACATGTCCCCATAAAGCTGATCCTAGATTCTGCATTGTCCTCACCAGCTCCTTATGAACCTGACACTCAACAAATATTTGAGAATGAATAACTAAATGAATTTAAAAGGTGGAAATTTGCACAGTGGGAAGAACATAGGCTTTAGAGTCAGTCTCCGGTTCAAAGTTTGGACTTGCCACTTGTTAAGTTTTTTGTCTTTGAGCAAGTAATTAACCTCTTTGGAAAGGTAAAATGAGGATAGTAGTACTCCCTTCAAAGGATAGTTGGAAGTATTTAAATATTATGTAGATAGAATAGCCAACTCAGGGACTGCCCCATAGTAGGTGCTCAAAATTGGTGACTACCTATTACATGAACAAAAACACTGGAGACTCCAAATTGATGTAAGACTACCACTTACAGTTTTGACTTTTACATACTATTTCTATTTTGGAGAAACACAGTCATGTCCCAGGATTAACAACTGCTGGAACAACCAGAAGAGATTAACGAGTCTAACATGCAGTGTTTCATTAAGTAGTTATGGGCTAAGGCCTGACTGGCAAAGAGGCAGCTGAAATATGTGTAATTAGATGACAGCTCAAGTGCTTTGCTGAACTGATCCTGAAATCCAACAAGAGACTAGTTTAAAGGAAGCAACTTAAATGTGCTGAGCCAAGTGCTGGTAGGTCTTACCTAAATATGAACTGTGATTTCTGTCTTGCAGAATTTGTTCAAACACTTGTTTAGAAAAGATCAGATGTCCATGAGGTGTCTTCTGGACCACAGTCCCACTCCAGTCGTAAGCTCCTACTGCACCCAGCATCAGAATATTCTGTAATAATTGAAAAATGAGAAGCCTTAAACCACCTGTAAGGCATAAGAGTGTCGGGTGGGCAAAACATCGAAACAAATGGTCTAAATTTAAAGGAGAAAAAAATAAACAAAACTAAGCATGATGAAGCAAAATATACATGAATTGCTTAGAAAAGAGAGACAACAGGTCAAAAATGGAATCACCTGTGCCAAGTCTACATCATCAAACCCAGACCATACCTAACCTAACTGCAACTTCAACCTCTCCCAGGAAGGTCATCTTAAATGTCACTTTGGAATTCCCTGGTCAGCACTAGTGAGATAATCACCTGAGGGACCCCTTCTGTCCCCTATGTGAAGGTGACTGTGCCTGAAACAGTCTGACTATTTCCCCTTCTGCCCATAAAAGCCTTCCATTTTCTACAGCCCCTTAGAGCATCTTTCTGTTTGCTTAATGAAATGCTGTCCAATTCATGAATCATGGTGGTGGTTTAGTCGCTAAGTCATGTACGTCTCTTACAACCCCATGGACTGTAGACTGCCAGGCTCCTTTGTCCATGGAATTTTCCAGGCAAGAATACTGGAGTGGGTTGCCATTTCCTTCTCTAGGGGATCTTCCTGACCCAGGGATCAAACCTAGGTCTCCAGCATTGCAGGCAGATTCTTTACCAACTGAGTTATGAGAGAATCCCATGAATCATTGAATAAAGCCAATTAGATCTACAGATTCACTCAGCTGAATTTTGGTTTTTTAACAGATTGTATGTTGATATATCTCCAAATTGTTTTGATACATTTTGTGCTGGAAAAGAAGCCTTCCCATGGGCTATATTACTTTGGGCTTTGCTTAGTACAACACATTTTAAAGATAAATCTGTACTACAGTACAGGAGGGGCACACAGCCATCTTCCAATTTCCATGCAAAGGCGCACATCTGCAAATGCTGAGCAATTGTAAGCCTTTAGAAAGGAGTCAAGAAGGGAGCCTCTGGCCTAACGTGTTCCTAAGAAGAGCTCGGGCTATGAGACATGCTCAAGAAACAGGAAGTGCTGCTGCCAGAGGAAGAGAGGTGGGCACTGTTCCCCCAGGCCCATGTGGTGGCCCTCTTCTGACCTGATTTATCTTCAACTTCCCTCCTCTTTCTCCTTTTAAACACTTCATTTATTTTTTGGCGGTGCTGGGTCTTCATTGCGGTGTGTGGTTCTCGCTAGTTGTGGTGCACAGGCTTAGCTTCCCTGTGGCATGTGTGGTCTAAGTTCCTCAACCAGGGATTGAACCCACATCCCCTGCACTGGAAGGCAAATTCTTAACCACTGGACCACCAGAGAAGTCCCTTCCATCTTTCTTCTTAACTCCTTCTCACACATTCCTCTCTCTCCTATCCCATCTATTTGTGAATGGCACAGCTACAGAAAGCAATTGAAGATATGATATTTCATCTATGGGAAGAAAAACAGCCATTGGTCAGCACCAGTGGGGAGGCCCAGAGAGGACAGCCCACTCGGGATTGGCTCAAAACCCAATCTGAATATTCAAAGCTATAAGTCATCGCAGGAAGCAGATGGTCAGGATGGGACTTGTTTTTAAATTTTTTTAAAAATTAATTAATCAACTGATTAACTAATTAGTTAATTATTTTATTTATTTTGGCTGTGTTAGGTCGAGTTGTGGCTAGATCTTTGGCTGCTGCACGCAGACTCTCTAGCTGTGGCATTAGGGCTCTCTAGTTGTGGTGGGTGGGCTTAGCTGCTCCAGGACAAGAGAGATCTTAGTTCCCTAATCAGGGATTGAACTCATGTCCTCTGCATTGCAAGGAGTATTCTTAACCACTGGACCACCAGGGAAGTTCTTATTTACAAGTTTTTGATCTTAGAAAATATCAGAGATGCAACTTTGGGGTTTTGCTGTTATTGTTTAAAATGTATTTTCTTGAAGTCTAGTTGACTTACAACATCATATTAATTTCTGCTGTACGGCAAAGTGATCCCATTATATAGACATTATTTTCCATATTCTTCTCCATTATGGTTTTCAAGGTATGATTTTGGAATGAAAAATACAAAGCCATTTAAAAAAAATAGGGAATTAAATGTGTCCCATTCTGAAGACAAGAGACCATGAAATTATGTGAATGATTGTCATAAATCCTGGACTCTGAAATCTGGGTGCAGGAAGGGGCTTCAGGGACTATACAAAATTTCAGGAAATTGTGTGAAAAATTCTTTGTGTGGGTTCACTGACATTTTTTCTGAGGGAAAGACCATAACTTTTAGGAGCATCTCTTAACGATTGGTGATCCAGAAAATGTTAGCACCTTTTTTTCTACAAAAAAACAAACAAAAAAACTGACCCTGGGCCTTTATTCAGCCAGTCAAATCCTGTTCCCTGAGTATTTCCCAGGGTTACCTGTCTCCTTGCCTCTTTTACTTTTACTACTGTTGCACTCATATCCTGAGTAGGATTAGAATCAGAGACCTGTGAGACGGATGTCTCTGAGAAAGAATGGACTTCCTTGAGCTAAGATGTCCCATCTCACTCTTTCCCTAACTCCTGACTTTTTCAACATTTTTCTGTCTCTGCTGTTAAAAAACAGATATTCAAATAACTCAGAATTCAACCATGACAGTGATGATAAGAGTTTGTGTTTTATTTATTTTTTTTAAGAGTTTGTGTTTTAAACAAACTTTTCCAGCAGTTGATGATATAAAGAAAATTCCTACAGTAATAATACCTTGAGTTAATATACTGCCTGTCCCCTGGAGCACTCAAAGGCTTTCTTGTATATTATCATTTTTTTCCATTAAAAAAAATCCCTGTAAAATAGGGTAGGGAAGGCATTATTAACCTCTGTTTTTTAGATGATAAGCCAGCAGCACAAAGAATCTAAACGACTGTGACTAGGAGTGAGAACTGCTGATCACTAGATGGCTGTTCTTCCCATTTCAGGACAAGGCTACTGGGTCCAGAAGTGTCAAGGCAAATGACAGCATGCCTGGAAGTTATCTGATATACACACATTTTGAGGGGAGTATTCCGCGCTGAATCCCACTTGTGACATTTCCATTTGGAAGTTGTCTCCTCCTTGAACTGTACCTGGGAAATAGCAGTTTCAAAAATTATATCACTGTTACCGATTTTAAATCAAAATTTCAAACACGGGTGCCTACATACACATACACACACACGCATGGTTCTGATGTCCACTCAAAAGTACAGAGCTGCCAGATTCTGGGAGGGAGGAATCTCTAGGGAAGTGTTCTAACACATGCAGAAACCCATGATGCTTCCCAGGTAGTATCTGAAGTTGGCATTAATCTTGATTGTGGATTAATGTATTTATTGGTATACTATGAAATTCCTGACATCAAGAAACACTCAACATAGGGGATGAGGTAAGATGAAAACTGACACGATTATCTTTTCTTTTTTAAAATGATTGTTACTTGCTAAAGACCTAACTGAATTTTTAGCTTTTAAATATTGGTACTAATAAATGCACATATATCTCAGATATAGTTAGAGGAGCCAAGCAATTGATCTGTGGTGAAGACAGTGTTGAGAGATATTTGGATTCAGCTTCAGGAACCAGGATTCAAGATTGAGTAGGAATGTTACCAATTTGGAGGTTGGTCCAAGTTCTGCATATGTGCTTACCTCTGACACTAGCACCCTAAGATTCATTTAGAACTCTTTTTCCATATAGTGCAGCCAAAGTGGTTACATTTCACTAATCTTCACAAAAAGGAAAGTTTGTGGACTGTCACATTAATGTAGAGCAGAATAAAAATGTTTGGATAGATGCTTCCCATGGATAATCAGGAGATAAAGATTTGACTATAGGGATTAATACTTAATCTATCAAGAGATAAAGATTTGACTATAAGGATTAATAATTAATCTATGCAATCCCTTTGATCATAGCAGATGCTCAATAAAATATTCACTTCATTGCTGAGAGTTATTTGGGTTAACCATCAGGAACTACGATTTGCATCACGTAGGACTTTTTACCAACTGGGAATTGTTTTCTAGTCCTCCTTAAAGTGAGGTCTTAAACAATATGATATTTCTACAGCGACTAGACCTCCCCAGCCACAGAAGTAAATTATTATATATCTGGTAAATGTTTCCTCAAAATCTGAACTATTAAAAATCTTCACTGTATTTTCTAACCTAAAAAGTATACATACTTACTGCAAACAAATTTAAGAATTTCAGTGTAAATTATGGAAGCAGAATAAAAAGGTAAAACTATTTATGATTATAATAGATGGTACTACATTGCTGCTCCCAAAGATTATACAATTTATAATCTTATCAATAGTATATGAGCTTCTGTGCTTATCCATAATCTCCCCAAGATTAAACATTACTAATCTTTGTTGTCTTTTAGGCACAAAAAAACATTGACTTAATTTAAAGTTTAAAATAATTAAAAATTGGGAACATTTTCCTTTGTTTATTGACATTTGTATGAGGCTTCCCTGGTGGCTCAGATGGTAAAGCATCTGCCTGGATGCTTTACCTGCGGGAGACCCGGATTCGACCCCTGGGTTGGGAAGATCCCCTGAAGAAGGAAATGGCAACCCACTCCAGTACTCTTGCCTGGAAGGCTACAGTCCATGGGGTTGCAAAGAGTCGGACACAACTGAGCAGCTTTACTTTACTTACTTTACTTTATAAGCTATGTATTCATCATTCTTTACTTTTCTTATTGATGCTATTTATGAGTTCTCTTTGTATAAGGTATATGTGAAGTGAAAGTTGCTCAGTTGTGTCCGACTCTTTGCGACCCCATGGACTATACAGTCCATGGAATTCTCCAGACCAGAATACTGGAGTGAGTAGCCTTTCCCTTCTCCAGGGGATCTTCCCAACCAAGGGATTGAACCCAGGTCTCTCCTATTGCAGGCAGATTCTTTACCAGCTGAGCCACAAGGGAAGCCAATTAATTAAAAGAGCACGTGGTAATAAAGAATTTTTTAAGGTTTTTAAAGAACATTTTACTTTATTTTTTAAATTTTTATTGGAGTATAGTTGATTGTAATGTCATGTTAGTTTCTGCTATACAGCGAAGTGATTTAGTTATACAGATATGTACTCTTCTTTAGATTCTTTTCCCCTATAGGCTATTACAGAGTATTGAATAGAGTTCCCTGTGCTCTACAGTAGGCCTTTATTGTCTATTTTATAGACAGTAATGTGTATATGTTAGTTCCGATACCCCAGTTTATCCCTTCTGTTCCCCTTATATGCTGGTAACCGTAAGTTTGTATCCTTGAAAAAAGTTTTTGAAAGAAAATTCTGAGGAGTTCTTTTACCTTCAATGCTGAAAATTTGTTCTCCTATTGTCCCAGCCTTTTCTAGTAGATCAGCTTCATCAGAGACATTGAAAAAGTGTCTTTCTGTTGGAATACTGGCAATTGCTTTAATTTCTTTTATTAAATTTTTAGTATCCAGGGCGTTTCTGTTTAAGTACCCAAGAACCTTGAAAACAGAGGAAGAGAGGAGACGGCCATCAGTGCTGTACTTTAATTTTCCTGTTAATATTTTCTAGACTTTTTTTTTTTTTAACACAATAGGCCTTTTGGAGAAGTAAAACAAGCAACACTTCCATATCGGTTGGCAGGACTCAGAGTTAGCAAGATGCTGAGGTAGAGTAAAAATATTCTTTTACATGAAGCTATGAACAGGCAATTAGAAAGTATAGTCTTAAAGGAATATTTCCCTATGAACTGAAAGACCAGTAAAAAGAAAAGCCACTTACTGCTATGCCAAACCTCAGTATATTGTCTTTGTTACATTGATCAATCACAGCTTTCAACTTTGAACCATCATGGGATTCACCATCAGTTACAACCACCATAACTTTGGTAGCACCTGGTCGTCCACCAGCAGCCGTTGAATAAGCGGTATCTCTGTGGCAGATAAAATAAAAACTCACTATCGATGGATAAAGTTAATACATGGACCTCTGGTTAGAAAAGTTACTATGAAACTGACTTCTTTGAATATAACCTATTGCGACTTAGAATTGATCTATCAGTTCTGGTGACATCTTAACTATATTATATTTGTAGTTTGTAGAGACACATAGAAGAATGTAAATCTCACTTGGCATTAAAAATAGCTCCCATGGTTTTCATAGTGTGTGGGTATGTATATTCACATCAGGAATCCTTAGAATTATCCTCTGCTAAGAAAATTAAACTTATTAAAACTAATCAAGAGCAAAGATAATTAATTTTTGTCATAAATTTTACTCATTGGATCTGCATTTTTCCAATAACAAATTGCATTTTTAAAAGTAATAAATATATGTGGTAAAAGAAATCTAAAGCATTTGGAAAGCTATAAAACAAAAATTTTACATCAAGCCACTATTTCAAAGGTAATCACTATTATCAGTTTGTTTCCTTCTAGAAAATGTTGTATATAGAGCATATATGCAAAATTTACTCCTTAAACTTTTATATGGGGACATATTCTATACAGTGGTTTTTCATTTTGATGGAGATCAGCACATATAGAACTCTCCTTTTTGTGTTTAATTGATTTCTAAATTTTCATTTTAAAAATGCTCATTTTATACAATTTTAGAGATAAGTTTCCATTTACAGTTATTATAAAATATTGACTGTATTCTCCTTGTTGTATTACATCCTTGAGCCTGTGTTATACCCAATAATTTGTGGCTCCCACGCCCCCACCTTTATATTGCACCCCCACCACTCCACTGGTAATCACTAGTTTAGAACTCTCCTTTTTAATGGCTATGCAATATTTCATTGCTTTGAGGAACCATAGTTTATTTAATCAACTCCCCATTATTATGCATTTAGGCCATTTTTGGTTTTACAAATAATGCTATAATGAATGTCCTCGTGTATATATCTTGGCATACTTTTTCAAATGCATCAGTAGGATAAAATCTTGGCACTGAAATTATTTGGACAAAGGATTTACACATTTCAAATTTTGATAAATATAGTACTAAATTGTTCTTCAAACTTCTTCCAATTTATACTGCCATCAGTGTACAAGAATGTAATTTTCCTCATCTTCTTTCCCTAACAATGAGGACAATTAACTTTTAATCTGGGATATTCTTATAAGTGAGAAATAATATATTATTGTTGTTTTATTATGTACTTTTTAACTATGACGAATGATGAGTATTTTTATGTTTATTAGCCATTTATATTTCCTTTTTCATGAACTCTTGATTTTTCTTTAGATTTGCTCGTTTTTGTTTTTCATCATTTTCCTGATCAGTAAAATTTCTGTTTATAAAGAAAATTACCCTTTGTCATATATGTTGTAAATAACTTTTTCAGCTCATTAATCATTTTTAAAATTTTAGTGATATTAATACTGTGCAGAAATTTTATATTTTTGTATAATCAAATCCGTTACTTTTTGTGTCTGTGTCTTTCATATTTGACATGTGATTTTAAAAGGGCCTTATCTATAAGACTTTTATCTTTTATCAGCCAAGTTTTCTCATAGTCCTTTAGTTGTTTCATTTTCTTAGATTTAAACTGGTGATCAGTTGAAATTTGTTTTGATTCAACGAGCAGGGATTCAGCTTTTGGTTAACCAGGTGTCTAATAATTTTTTTCCTGTCTATTGGATTGTCTTGTTGCACATTCTTTCTGGTGTCATCATATAGGTTTACCACCACCACTTACATGATGAGAATTTAAGGTCTATATTTGCTTCCATTCATCCCTCCCATCTTCAAGTTTGTGTATTCAATGCACTGAATATTTTCACCTGAAAGTGTATGGAGTTCTTTAATTCAACTTGTTTAAAACTGAGAATATCAGTTTATTTCCTAAAGCTTTTCTGTATTCTATATAGCAGAATATAGAAATATTGAAAAATAGTTCCTATTTCTCAACCAAATTTGAATTCTTATACTCACATCAAATAATTTTTTAAGTGAATTATACTCTTTATGACACAGAGTAGAGCTCATGTCTGATTATAAGCTGGCCGAGCGTAGAAACTATGCCTCATTTAGTTTTGATGACCTGTGTGTGTTAAGTTGCTTTAGCCAAGTCTGACTCTTTGCGACCCTATGGAACGTAGCCTGTCCATGGGCTCCTCTGTCCATGGGATTCTCTAGGCAAGAAAACTGGAGTGGGTTGCCATTCCCTTCTCCAGAGGCTCTTCCCGACCCAGGGATTGAACCCAAGTCTCTTATATCTCCTGCATGGGCAGGTAGGTTCTTTGCCACTAGCTTCACCTGGGAAGCTCATGATTATCTGTAGGGCTTGGAACAATAGATTTTAACTTTAGGCACCAAATCAAATTAGATCAATAGAAAATGGAAACATTTACTGAAGGAGTATCAGAATTCTATTTGGTGTTGTAAAGAAATAGATCAAGAATGAGGAGAAAGAAGAAGAAAGAGAAAAAGAATTAGATGTAATTAAATTCTGGAATGAATGAGTAAAAAGATAGGTGGTTCTCCTCACAATGGAAAGACTCCTGTTAGCTTGGAAAATAATGGTGAGGGAGGGATGACAGGGAGAAAAACAAAGTTTTGAAAAGACCATAAAAGCCGTATGAGTCCCATTTTCTCAGAAAGTTTCTGTTCTCCCTAAGAAGGAAGCTTGCCAGGCCCCTAGGCTCTTTCCAGGGAAAAATGCCACACCCACATTCCCTTCTAAAAATAAAGGCTCTTTACTGTTTCTAACTCCTAGGAGGCCATTTTTCTACGTCATCTTAGTCCTCCCCTCAGCCTGCTTTACTGAACCAAGAAGGGTACTTAGCATAATAGCTACGGCCAGCAGCCGATGAGGTAGCTGGACTCCAAAGCACAGCTTAATGGGGACACACAAAAAATTAGCCAAACCAATCATATCTTCTCTTGTAGAGAATCTACTCTTAAGACATATGGGGAGAGTCAGCAGTTGACAGAAGCAGCAATTAGAACACAGAATGTCCTGAAAAAGAAAGGACAGATATTACAGGAAATTCAGAAATAGAAAGGGCAAGATGTGGTGACTGGCCAGATATGTGACCTAAAGAGGAGTAGAAAGAATAAAAAAAAACTGTTAAGTTTACAGTCTGAATAACAAGGGGAAAAGGCGGACAATGAATCAAAATGGCAGAGTCACAAGGAGGGGAAGGGAAAAGCACAGGGCCAGTTTAGGATGTACTCAGTCTGACAAGTGAGCCAGCACTTCAAATCAGCATCAGCTGGACACCCGTGTGAATTCCGAGAGAGGTCAGGGCTGACGACATAGCTGTGGGGTAAGCCAGGCAGGGCTGATGGCTCACGTAACCTGAGAGTGGATACAACACCTAAGAAAAAAGGGTTATGAAAGAAGGACTCTGTTTAATGAAGAAAAACTAGAAAAGAAGCCAGTGAAGAGGCAAACTTGTTGACAAAAGTTGCCAGGTTTTCTGGAAGTGTGTGGTGTCAAGGCACCTGGGGTAGAAACAGCACTGCGTGCTCATTATTGTCAAATGATAAGGGAAGCTAAAGAGGATGAGGCTTGAGGCAAAACCACATTTACAGGGTGGCAGAGTCATATGTTTCAAGGATATGAAGGAAGGAACATAGATTCTTCTTTTAAGGGATTATGGCAGTGGAAGGAAGGCACAACCAGATGGCAAAGGGCAAAAAGTAGGTTTAAAGGAAGATGAACTTACTGTTCTCATTTATATTTTTTAAACAATATGAGAATGTTTAGCACCTTTTTGGTAAAGGTATCTGATCAAATCAGAGTGAAGATGAAGGTCAGCAGTGCTAAGAAAATAGACACTGAGCTAAGAATTAGGAGTGTTATATAGTTATGAAATTACCCCAGACAGTAGTTAGCAGAATGAGTCCTTCAATTCAGACTCCTATGTCATTAACACGTAAGATTCTACGGCCCTTCTTAATTTGGTTGAAGTGTCCCATAGCTCAAGTTGTTTGTGGTCTTAATAAATAGTAACAAAAATTTGCAGATTGCTCCATTTCCAACTTAACCCAAGGTCTTTTAATCTCATTTTATTTACTTCATATAAAGTATTTAAAAATCTTATAAAAGTCACAGAAATCAAAGATTTAAAAATTTTATTCCCTTCTGCCTTCTCAAAGTGTTCAAGTAAAAGAATGTTCAGACTTGTCTACTCTGCTAGTTCTGATTTAAGTGTAGGTATTGCATATTTGGGTTTCCCACATGGTGCAGTAGTAAAGAATCTGCCTGCCAATGCAGGAGATGCAAGAGACGTGGGTTCAATCCCTGGGTTGGGAAGATACCTTGGAGGAGGAAATGGCAACCCACTCCAGTATTCTTGCCTGGAGAATCCTATGGACAGAGGAGCCTGGTAGGCTACAGTCCACGGGGCTGCAAAGAGTTGGACACAACTGAGCAACTGAGTATGCACGCACCATATATTTTATATTTTTCTTTGTCTTTTCTTACTTATGAGCACTTCTATTTTATCAACATATTGACCTATTAGCATCATGACTTACCGTGCATACTGAATTGCTTTGAAGGTATTTGTAAGGTCTCCACCATATTGGAATGTCTGCGATGTTGCTTTAATCATTTCATCTTTGGATTTAAAAGTATTCAGGTTAAACACAACTCTTGGATTATTGGCATATTGAATTAACCCCATCTTTAAGAGAAAAGAAGTTTATTACAGGTTTGTCATTGTTATAAATCATTCCTATGTAACCAATATAAGAAAAATCAGAAGTGCATTTATACACGGGCTGATAGCTTAAGGAAATCATTTCCAACTTTTTTCTTAAGAATAATTATTTTTCTTCCAATAGGATAACTTCCCTGTCAGAGGTCATCAGTGTACAGCAGTGGGACTTATTGACAAGCATGATAATGTGCCATTTATGTGCCATATGGTTCTCAAGAATAATAACTGCAGCTTTTAAAGCACTGCCATATGGATGAATAGTAGAATAAAGTTCATAACAGGAAGATTTAAATAGATTTTTCTAGTTACAAAAGGATATATATATGTTAACCATTACAAGCAATCATGGATGGAACATAACATCTCATCAATTGAGGATAATTATCTAATAAACAAAGAAGTATAGTTGAATACTAAGAAAAGTGACTGCTAATCAGTGCAGTCAGTATAAATGTCTTCACTGTGCTGGATTTCCTTCATCACAGACGTTAGAAAGGAAGCTGCTATATGTGTGTTTGGGACAGGACATTTCTGGTCTTCAGGGAGAATGCCACTGGAGGGTCTTATTTGGAAGAACCGAGAGGTAGAACAACTTCTGAATAAGACGTTTGAGCACATACCGGAATCCTTTAGATCAAGGAGGTCAAACACTTTGGTTAATGTCCTTGTACTCAGCACTGAGATCACTCTCTATGCCTAGGATTTGGGGCTTCCAGAATAGGAAGTGGTTATAAGGGAATCAGTGGTAAAGAGTTGCTGAAAATAGAGGCCAGTGTGTAAGGAAGGTGGATAGGGCAAGGCCTGGATTTCTGAGACCAATCAGCTGCTTTTGCCAGGAAGGCAGTTAACCAGCCTTCCTGGGAAAATCACCAAAAAAATATGATATTGTTGAACTCCTCTCTTCAAGGTAAGATGTAAGACTTGAGAGAGAGAGGAAAGGATCAAAAATAACTCTAAGAATCTCAAAATCTAAGCTGAGAGGAAGAGACTGGTGACCCCTGACACAGCCCCACAACTTCTGCGTGAGAGGGAGGAAGGTGGAAGAGAAGATGTGGTAGATTAGGGCTTACAGAAAGGTCACATTTAGGTTCAGAGAAAAGATGCTGAGTAAAACCACCTTTAGAGATGAAGAAGATGCATTGGGGTTGCAAGATAGAAGAGGAAGGTCAGTAATTCCCCACGGAAACTATTAAACACAGTAAGTCATGTTACAGGGGTAATTCATTTAGAGACAGAAAATAAACAGATACAGATGAAAACTTCTCTTATGAGGGGCTTTAAGAGTGATGTTCTCTAGAAACCAGTATGATACTTAGTTTTATTTAACAGAATTTTCAGTGAAAGCCCACAGTGAAACCTTCAAAGTTTTGACAGATATTAATATCCTCTTGGTACTGAAAAGCAATGTCAATGGGGAAAACATGCAATGGTATTTTACAATACTATACAGAGATGCAGAAAGGCAAATTTAAATGTAGAGAAGTGCAAAGCATTTAGGGAAAAGTGTTCCAATAACTGTTGGGCCCTGTAGCATCAGATGCAACACAGGAACTGGTAACTCTGTGGACTGGTTCCTGTTGATATTGGTTCAATGTTTTCCTACAACCAGGATGGCCCAGAAAATGGCAGATCCAACAAGAAAGAAAGAAATAACCCAAAACTTTAAAAATGCTATTCAGTGTTATAAAAGCAGCACCTTTCTGCTCCTTAATTTTGGTTGCCTACCACAGGAAGGCAACCAAAGCACTTCCCTGGTGGCTCAGATGGTAAACCATCTGCCTGCAATGCGGGACACCCAGGTTTGATCCCTGGGTTGGGAAGATCCCCCGGAGAAGGAAATGGCAACCCACTCCAGTATTCTTGCCTGGAGAATGCCATGGATGGAGGAGCCTGGGAGGCTACAGTCCATGGGGTCGCAAAGAGTCGGACACGACTGAGAGACTTCACTTTCTTTCACCACAGAAAGAAAAAAAACCAAAGATTCTTTAAAACATAAAGCTACACAAAACTATTAAAAGGACTTCTGTAAAAAATGGAAGTTTAGCCTCGACTATGATACTGAAGTGAAAGTCGCTCAGTCATTGCAACCCCAATGGACTATACAGTCCATGGAATTCTCTAGGCCAGAATACTGGAGTGGGTAGTCTTTCCTTTCTCCAGGGGATCTTCCCAACCCAGGGACTGAACCCAGGTCTCCCACGTTGCAGGCAGATTCTTTACCAGTTGAGCCACAAGGGAAGCCCAAGAATACGGGAGTGGGTAGCCTTTCCCTTCTCCAGAGGAACTTCCCATCCCAGGAATTGAACGGGGGTCTCCTGCATTGCAGGCAGATTCTTTGCCAACTGAGCTACGACAGAAATATGCTGTCTGAACTTATTTATAAAAATCCTAGAATTCAAAGATAATTTTTTCACCAGTAAAAAGAGAAAGTTATCATTATTAGTCCAAGTGTGTGTAAAAAATACATTATGGATTTTTAAGTGTATTGATTAGTGCATGAGTTAGTGGAAGAAAAAATTAGCAACGAAAGATAAATTAAGAAGCTGTGTCACATATCCGATGCCTGTGTTCGAAATAGGAACCCATGTTTAAAGACCAGCATTAGGCAAAGTTATGATAGAATAATTCAATGTGGCACAAATTTCAATTAACTTTCAAGATTACCATTAAATGCCTTTAATATGGGGATTGGACAAATGCAAAGATGAAGACTGACCTCATCTCTAGTAATATTTTCTCAGAAAGAAAGCTGTGGGTTAGGGTCTATATAAAGGATGTCCATACCTGTGTCTTTGTGGGGCCTATATCTAGGCCTTGTACAAATTTTTCCAAAAAGTTCTTTACTGCATCCCAGGGATAAATACTGTTTGATTCATCACATACAACCACAACATCTATGAAGGAAGGGCAGGCTACATAGGAAATGATAAAAGAAACATATTTCCATAGGTAAGACAAAAGTCACATCCACATGAAAATGAGACAGAGTAAAAGAGAATGGCACTTGCTGATACATTTTCCCCTCTTTTAAATTAAGGCATTGCTCAGACCCTTGGCACATTCATCACTTACTCTGAACTGCAGGCGCAAAGCTGGTCCGCAACTGAAAATCGGGACTGACATCAGAGCACACCCCAGTTGTGTAATACTGACTTCCGCACTGCTGTGCCCACAGGGGACCACAGGTCTTCAAAAAACGAGAACAATGACAAAACACATCGGAAATGTTAACCTTCCAGCTCGCCGTTTGTGAAGCTCAGGAATCATTTCTAAGACACTAGGAATCATCAGCTCTTGAAACTAACAGGTCAACAGTGCCTTTGAGGGAAAGTGCACTGGAGCCCACAGAGGGGAAGGAGAGGGTGGCAGATGTGTTGTGCCCGGTGACACGGGTCTCGGGGACAGGGACACTGGGACTGTCGGTGCAGGGAGGAGCCCATCAGGTCACCCACCAAATTAGAGAAGAGGGGTGCTGTCCTTCCAGAGAACAACCTGGAGAAAAAAGGGGCCAAGTTCATTTTTTGTCTCTCAGCTAACTGGGTCTCACCTGCCTCATCTATAAAATGAGGATGATCAGACCTCCTAACTTAAGGCTGTTCTGAAGACAAAATGAGTCTATGTCTATGAAACACTTAGAATAGTACTGGGTAAATAGCAAACAATATGTAATTGTTAGCCAGCCTCATTAGCATTATTGTTCCTTGAACATATGTCTCCTCCTGTCCCTTCCATTTTCACTATTCAGCAGAAACCATAAACCCTATGTCCCCATGGGCCAGGCAGGCAGCTTGGCAGAGAGCTTGGGCCAGGTGTGGACACCGTGGTGAGTGAAGAGCCCACACCTTCTGTGCAGAGCAGACCACTGTGGCTCCTGGTCACTGGCTGCTGTGAAACAGGCCCTGTGTGGCTGAATGTCTCAAATTCTCAAGGAGAATCAAAGCAAAAATTCTGTGTGAAAATTCATAATAATAATAAAAAAAAAAAACCCTTGCAATACTCTACATGCTAAACAAACAAAGGAACTAGCAGGCTCATGAACTGCCAGTTTTTAACTCTGCAGTTATCAAAGCATTTCTTTGAGGACTTCAGAGCTGCCTGTGTCCACTCCCTAGAACCTTCAGTCATCCAAGCTGGCACTTGTCTTCTTATGCACATCATACTCCAGTTATTAATATCGCCATTAACCCAGTGCCAAAGCTCTCCCTTTCAGTAGCCCTTGAAAGGCAAGAACTCCTGATTAAATCATGTGGGAAATACCAAGTGTGTGTGTGTTAGTTGCTCAGTCATGTCTGACTCTTTGTGACTCGAAGGACTATAACCCACCAGGCTCCTCTGTCCATGGAGTTCTCCAGGCAAGAACACGGGAGTGGGTTGCCATGCCCTTCTCCAGGGGATCTTCCCAACCAAGGGATTGAACCCAGGTTTCCTCCATTGCAGGCAGGAAATATTAGGTTAAATACAAATCATTAGATGTGAAAGGAGAAAAAAATGGCGAAGAGAAGTCTAGTCATGATCTTAAAAAGACCTACAAAGTTTAACCTTATATAAAGCTGTGGAACAACTATTAAAACTTAACTGAAAAGTGTGGACTTGCAAAAAGTGATTGGAAGAATGAAAAGGAACTTATTTGACCCAGTTTAATTGTTGGTAGCTCAAAAGAGAAGCAGCTGTGGTCATATTTCATACTCAATGAGCAAGGCATAGTTTTTCCCTTATAAAACTGGTTCATTTTGCCAATTAGGGGAGAATCACAATTGATGCCGTGGGTATGTTTACCAAATGAGATACCAATTACTGATTTCCTACATCTGCACCCCCAAGTTGGTTTAGCTTAATCACCCTGAAAAACACTCATGAAGTATTTGAAAATATTTTTTTGGTTTTAAAAGCAATGGAAAACAACATTAAGGAGTTGAAATTAGAATATGCCAATTGTTAATGCCAGAACAACATTCCTACTTTAAGCCCAGAACTTAAGAAGGTTCAAAAAATGTGATGATTGTCAGTCTTTTCCACAGTATTCTTAAGAGTATCTTAAGATTTTGACCTTTTAGGTATGGAAAGGAAACCTTAGCTTTTTTTTCTTTTTCCTTTCTTTTTTCTCTTTCCCTCTTTCCTTCTACTTGCTACATTGACTATTAAATTAACCTCAAATTCTCTTCAACTTCATTTTATATATAAGGTTTATAAGAGGTTTTACACTTACATAAAAATTGATAGTTATAGATTAAAAATTTGAAGTTACAGATTAAAAACTTTGAAGCATATTCTGTAATCCCTATTACCTCAATATATTTTCTTTCTTAATTTATTCAACTTTAAAAAAGGAAACAAGAAAGACAAAACAACCCTATGATAAAGACTTCAGAAGATGATAAACCAGGAAGATTCACTGAAATACTCATATATGCATTGATCTAACATATATTGTAAGCAACACCTAATTCACTAGTTGATACCAAAGTCTAATATCTCTCAGTAAAAACAGAATCATATTGTTCAATATTGATTATACTTTTAGAGAAATCTGTTTATATACATAGGCTTTTAAGTTAGCATGTCAATGCAACATGTCATAATCAAGCTTTCTAAGACGATTTTAACAGAGATATACAACTAGGTTTCACCTACATGGGCTGGTAGAAATGTCAAATGAGGTTGGGTTTTTGTTTGCACTCTTTTTTTTCTTTCTTTTATCTTTTGGTGTCTGATGATTTTCTTTTTTCTAACATAGCTGTGTCTTTTAACAATTTTCTATATTATTTTGCCTGTTAATTCCAAGGTCAGAAATTCTCTCAGAAAACTTCCATTTTCTTCTAGTTTTTTAGATTAACTCTTTAGTTCACTTGGAAGCATATTTGGATATGCAAGATATTCACCAATTAATTGTCCCCAGACCACTTGTTAAATAAAGCATTCTCTTTTACTGATCTGTGGTGGTCTTTACACAGTATTCTATAAACTAAATGAGAGTAAATGCTAACATGAAATGAGTCCAGATCATTGCTTTAAATAATATCAGAGTAGTCAATGACTATCAGAAATGATTAAAAACAAAAGTACTTTGTAGCTTTGAAACCTACTTTCTGAACTAGCTATACCTATCCAGAATGTTCCTACAGGAAGGGGAAATGAGAACTAGAATTCTGTTGTCATCAACAAATGCATTTTTCAAGGGCAAAGAATCGCTGTTCCTTCTGTCCCCTTTCCTCAAAACATTCTGTGGCAACATTTTTGCTAAATATCTTAAGATGCTTACATATCAACACATTGTTCTTTCATGTTGGCTCTCCTCTAGCATGACTTATCCAAAATTCAAGTTCGAACGTTTAAACGTCAAGATTTGGTTTGCTAGGAGGGACGGTCAGAAGACACTGACTTCATACTTGAGAGGAGAGAGGATCTGAAAAGTAAACACTCACAAGAAATCCTCCTGTTCCCATGTTCCTTGTCAGCGTCAAGCCAAGACTCATGTTGGTTTTCATCTCAGTAACATTGGAAATGCTCGTGGAAGCTTTCAAAGGGGAGAAGATTTTTAAAAGTGGTTAAATTATCATTTAAAGACTTTTTTTTCAACATACACTCAGGTTTATATGTAGCATTGAGTTTAGTGCTCATGGTGTGTAATCAAGTATATGGAAATTAGATGTTACATTGATCTGATACTTAAATGAGTGAGGCTGCAGAATGTGATCCTCGGGGGTGGGGTCTGCAAAGGTCATGATGACTCCATCTAATGCTTTATTCTGAATCATAAAAAACCATTCTTAAAGTGTTATCAAAGAATGCCATATGGTAGAATCTGGCCCAAAGCAACAGTAAGTGAACTTTAGAAGGCCATCATGACATGAGCATGTAGAATAACAGATAAATCTCTCCAACCTTCTCTCTCCCATTCAGCTAAGGCATCATTTGCTGTATCCATTCTTGACCTACTGAACATTGAAATTCTTTTCAATAATATCATTTTTTTTCATTATCCTCTAATCTCTGCCAAGGTGTACATGTGTGTGTATATAAACATACATGCACACATACCTGTACAGCTATACATATTAGTTTTTTATTATCCTCTAATCTCTGCCACGGTATGTGTGTACATATATAGACACACACGTATACACATACATAAAATCACACTATTTCTGTAAATGTGTATATACATCATTTATCTTAAGTTGTGCATGCTCAGTAACTTAGTTGTGTCCGACCCTTTGTGACGCCATGGACAGTAGCCTGCCAGGCTACTCTGATGGTTAAATTCCAGGCAAGAATACTGGAGTGGGTTGCCATCTCCTACTCCAGGGAATCTTCCCCATTCAGGGATTGAACATCCTTCACCACTGTACCACCTGGGAAGCCCTAATCCTAAATTATCTACTCATTTATAAACATATGTATAAAATTTCTAAAAATATATAAATATATATATATTTATGTGTGAGAGCTCAAAAGTTTTATTATACAGTTTATCCCCTATTTCCCAGGATGCCCATTTAAAAACTTCATCCTTCTTCTCAAGCCTCCAAACTCAACCCAGATTCCATCACTCTCTAGTGCAAAGAAGATAATCACACTCGAAGGGTAATCTCAACTTCTCTCATCTTTACCTAAAAGTCCTTCTAGAATTCTGACTTGTCTCTTTTCTCTGTGTCTCAGAAAAGGGAGCATGCTTCGTAAGACTCATTTTCTCAGGTACCAGAGACATTAATTTCATCCAGTTAACTTCATCCTTGACTGGTCATCACTCCCTTTTATTGCCTCCTTCCTCTCTCCTTACAAATAGGATCAGTCAGTTCAGTTGCTCAGTCGTGTCCAACTCTTTCCAACCTCAAGGACTGCAGCACCCCAGGTTTCCCTGTCCATCACAACTCCTGAAGCTTACTCAAACTCATGTCCATAGAGTCGGTGATGCCATCCAACCATCTCATCCTCTGTTGTCCCCTTCTCCTCCTGCCCTCAACCTTTCCCAGCATCAGGGTCTTTTCCAATGAGTCAGTTCTTCACATCAGGTGGCCAAAGTATTGGAGTTTCAGCTTCAGCATCAATCCTTCCAATGAATATTCAGGACTGATTTTCTTTAGGATGGACTGGTTTTATCTCCTTGCAGTCCAAGGGACTCTCAAGAGTCTTCTCCAACACCACAGTTCAAAAGCATCAATTCTTCAGTGCTCAGCTTTCTTTATAGTCCAACTCCCACATCCATACATGACTATTGGAAAAACCATAGCTTTGACTAGATGGACTTTTGCTGGCAAAGGAATGTCTCTGTTTTTTAATATGCTGTCTAGGTTGGTCATAGTTTTTCTCCCAAGGAGCAAGCATCTTTTAATTTCAGGGCTATAATCACCATCTGCAGTGATTTTGGAGCTCAAAAAATAAAGTCTGTCACTGTTCCCATTGTTTCCCCACCTATTTGCCATGAAGAGATGGAACTGGATGCCATGATCTTAGTTTTCTGAATGTTGAGTTTTAAGCCAACTTTTTCACTCTCCTCTTTCACTTTCATCAAGAGGCTCTTTAGTTCCTTTTCACTTTCTGCCATAAGGGTAGTGTCATCTGCCTATCTGAGGCTATTGATATTTCTCCCAGCAATCTTGATTCCAGCCTGTGCTTCCAGCCCAGCATTTTGCATAATATACTCTGAATATAAGTTAAATAAGCAGGGTGACAATATTCAGCCTTGACATACTCCTTTCCCGATTTGGAACCAGTCTGTTGTTTCATGTCCAGTTCTAACTGTTGCTTCTTGACCTGCATACAGATTTCTCAGGAGGTAGGTAAAGTGGTCTGGTCTCTTGAAGAATTTTTCAGTTTGTTGTGATCCACACAAAGGCTTTGGTATAGTGAGTAAAGCAGAAGTAGATGTTTTTACTTATAAGATCATTTCCTTTTTATTAGAAAAATCATTTCTTAACCCTGCTATCTTATCAAACTATTTTGCCAATTCTCCTTCACTACTTAACTTCTGGAAATAGAGGTCTGCTTCTGTGGGTAATTAAAACCCAGCAATTCCAAACAGTTACAAACAATTCTACCAAAAAAAAATTCCAAATAGTGATTTTTCTTTTTTTAGTAGAACAAGATCATTTTAACATGACCAGAAACACACAGTGTTCCTCAGTAACCTCCAAATTATCTAGGACTGATGTTTCTAGGGAAGGAGAGAAGTATGAATAGTCTCAGATTTCTGTTAGTAATCACCAAAATCATCCTAAATGTTGGTGGAAACTGGTCCACAGACTGGGCCAGATGGTCTAGGAGGCAGCACGTTTCCCACACATCTTACTTAATGAGGTCATCAAACGGTGTTGGAAGTTTGGATACAGTTGGACCCCATATGACTACAGAGATAAAGGCAACAAAAGCAGTCTATATTTCTTAAAGACAAAACTCTGGTTTTGTTGTCTTTTTTTCAACTGAGTATATAACAAGATTTTGTTATGTAAAGAAAAAACCACATTGCTAATTATAACTTACTTTGCAAATTCAATTTTTCACATGTAGTGGTGGATAGATCAACAGGACATTTATATACATCTCCCATTCGGTCCTTGGGAAAGCCACTCCATGGTGAACCAACCAGTAACCTAGAAATAGGGATTTTATTTTCCATTAGACATTAAATGTTAGCTATAGTGTCTTAAAGGTAAAGCTGACCACAAAACAGTAAAAAAAATCCACAATTTAGTTTCAATTTAATAAGTGAACAGTTTCTATTTGCTCAGCTATGATTTGTTGTTTTTCTTTTCTTCTTAGCTGATGAAGAAATTGATAAACATCTGCAGTACAGTGGTCTTGCCACAATACCTGGGAGGTCTCTCTAAAGCATTTCTGTCCAGTGGAAATATAATGCAAGACACAAATGTGAGGCACATATGTAATTTTAAGTTTTCTAGTGGCTGCATCAATAAACCAACAAAAAAAAGCAACAGATGAAATTAACTCATTTAGATAATATATTTTCTTTAACTCAGTATATACATACTAACTTGCAATCAATATTTAAATTACTGAGCTATTTAACATTCTTTTTCCATTCTTAGTGCTTGAAATTCAGTGTGTATTTTATATTTTGAGCACAATCAAGTAACATGTCAAGTGCTCAGTAGCCACAAGTGGCTAGTGGCTACCATACGGCTCAGTATAGCTCTAAAGAATGAAATAATATTAAAACCTAAAGCAAGAACTAACATCTGTTGAGTGTCTTCCATGCCCTAAGCACTTTCATATGTTATTGAGGGAGCACATAAGTTATCTAAGTGGCTTCATGTTTTACTGTCTATATAAGGGAATGCTCAGCAAAAATACAGAGCAATATTTACCCACAGCAATTACTGTGGGTCTCTCCTTATGTGCATCGTGTTGGAATACAGAAGCTGGAATACAGAAGCAGAGGACAGAGATAGGTGCTAACGTTTTCCTTTTGGTTAGTTTCACTTCCTACAGAGCTTTCCAAAAAGATATTATGCATTTCCCTGCAGAATCACTGGACATTTCTGGCCAAGAATGGACAGAAAGCGTCCACATAACAGTCTGATCTTTAGAAACTCCTGTAGGCTAACTACTCAGCAGCAACCAATGACTAAGGAAGCGTATTTGACTCAATGTTTTTTCCTTGTCAAAGTTGGGAAAGATTAGATTATTGATCTATGAAACTTAAATTCTTTATGATACTTCCAAATATTTTGTCATTATTGATTAAACAGCATGTGCTCAATTAAGTGCTATAGTGAATTAAGAAAAACCTAAGGCACGTTTATGTCTACTAAATGTAGTAAAACTATTTAAAAAAATAACAAGTAAAAAAATAATAATCATAACAAATGGAAATATATTAATAAATTGCTCTTGAAAAAAATTTAAATGGTCAAAGGAAGCTAACATGGACACAGAAGGATGAGGCTGGTAGCTGGCATTCTTATCAGAGGGAGCAGCATAAACAATCATGGAAAGAGGGAAATACAAATTATTCTGAAAGAGTTAATGATTCAGTAATAATCTTCTCCGCTTATCTTATACAAATATTCTCAAGCAAGTATTTTGTAGAGGATTCTAGAATACTTTAAACCAGTTAACTTTGATTAAGGTTAGAGTTGAAAGTTTTTGTCTTCTTATGAGTAGATACTTTACCTAATTTATCTGTTAAAATATTGTCTATAGAAACCATCTACAAGACAAAAAGACAGACTAATGAATGGGAGAAAATCTCTGCAAATGCTAAGACCGATAAGGGATTAATGTACAAAGTGTAGAAACAGCTCCTACAACTCAACATCAAAGGAAAAAAAAAAATCTAAAAAAAAAAGGCAGAAAACCTGAATATACAGTTTTCCAAAGAAGACATACAGATGGCCAACAGGCACACAAAAAGATCCTTAAAATCATCAATTACCACAGAAATGCAAATTAAAACCACAGTGAAATATCACTTCACACCTGTCAGAACAGCTATCATCAAAAAGACCACAAATAATGGATGTTAGTGAGGGTACGGAAAAAAGGGAACCCTAGGACACTGCTGGTGGGAATGTAAATTGACAGTCACTGTGAAAAACTGTGGAGGTTGCTCAAAAACTAAAAATACAACTATCTTATGACCCAGCAATTCTATTCTTGGATATATATCTGGAAAAGAAAATGAAAATGCTAATTTGAAAAGATATGTGCACATCAATGTTCATAGCAACATTATTTACAATCGTCAAGATATAAAAGCAACCTAAGTGTCCATCAATAGATGAATGGATAAAGAAATATGGCATACACACACACACACATACATACACATATATGTATACATATATAAGTAGGTAAAGAGTCTGCCTGCAGTGCAAGAGAATTGGTTCAAGCCCTGGGTCCGGAAGATCTCCAGAGAAGGGAATGGCAACCTACTCCAGTATTCTTCCCTGGAGAATTCAGTTGACAGAGGGGCCTGGAGGGCTACAGACAGTCACAAAGAGTTGGACATGACTGAGTGACGGACTTTCACATACACATACAATGGAATACTACTTAGTCATAAAAAGGATGACATTTTTATTATCAAACTTTATTTTAAAATTTTAGCATGCAAGTTTCCATCTATTTTGATTGAAAGGATTTTTAACTATAGAATATAGTTGGTCCCCTATAGGATAATGCAGCTCACATAACAAGTTCAACTTAAACCTTGAATTTGGAGTAAAACACATGAGTATTGCTAAATGTCCTCAATCACCACTTCCTTGCACTCTGGGGAAAGAAAATCCAGAGGTAGTGGGTGGGAACAGATGCTACTTAAGTATTAAGAATTCCACATGAGCTATTTTAAAATGTAAATCCTTTTCAATCTGAATTTTTGATTAATTTTCAGCTAATAATTTCTTATGGTAACATTATAACAAGGTTTTATAAACATGCATCTGTAATTTTTACTTTAGTCACAAATACAGTTTTTTTGCTAAAAAAAGAAAAAAAATGGTATTTTGCCATTTGAAACAACATGAATGGACTTGGGGGTATTATGCCAAGTGAAATAAGTCAAACAGAGAAAGACAAATACTGTGTGATATCACTTATATGTGGACTCTAAAAAATAAAACAAACTAGTGAATATAACAGAAAAGAAACAAACTCACGGATACAGAGAACAAACTAGTGACTACCAGTTGGGGGGGCAGGAGAAGGAGCAATATAGGGGTAGGGGATTAAGACGAACAAACTATTATGTATAAAACAAACAAGCTGTAAGGATATATAGTCCCAAACAGGAAATAAAGTCAATATTTTATAACAACTCTAAATGGAATATAACTAAAAAATTGTGAACCACTATGTTGTACACCTGAAACTTTTACATTAATAATATTGTACATCAAGTATACCTCAATTAAAAAGTAATACATCAGAAATATTGTCTATAAAGAGGAATGCAATAACACCAGGCATATAGGTTAAGATTTCTGAAAAAGATAGAAATTGATATGTTGGCTGTAAGTCCCAATATTTGCCTTAGTGAAGGAAGAGAATCAAGGAGCAGGATTTGAAGTGCATGTTTGAGCATATCTGATGTTCTTCAAATTCATGACAACTCAGAGGAAATCAGGAAACTTATGAGGATTCTGCATTGTAAAAACTATCTTCCAGCAGCTTGATTTCTCCATTTCTACAAGTCTCTGGGCTTCATTCCATACTGGGACTATACAGAATTACCTTTAATCTTTGTGTGCAGGATACATCTTAAAATATAAGAAAGAAAGAGACTGAAAAATGAAAATGTATATATATATACATATATATATATGTATAAAATGGAATCAATTTGCTGTACACTTGAAACTAACAACATCATAAATCAACTATGATAAAAAAATTTTTTTAATTAAAAAAAAAGAAAGAAAGAGACAATCTGGCCTTTGTTTGCTTTTCCAGCCCTGTTTTATTCACATACTTTCCTGAAATTCTGTATTTGAGTCATTAGACTCTGATCTGGTGGAGAAGCTGGGTTATTTTTCTTCTAAACCTTCACACGTGCTGTTCTCTGCCTGGAAAAATTCTGCTCGTTACTTAGGTCTCCCATTAGACAACCACTTCCTCCAAGAAGTCACCTGGTTCTTCCACATTTGAGCAAGGTGGATTTCCTAAGTTATTTCTTAGCCTCTGAACTTTCTCTGTCCTGGTTTTCATCACATTACCCTGTAAGGGCCTGCCCCCTGACTAAATACCACCCGCCCCCCAGGAAGGAAAAGTCCATGGGGACTAGGAATCCTGCCTATAGCACTGAGTGACTATGTGTTGAATGAATGAATGAAAAAACAACTGAACAAACAAATGGATGATTCTACATTATTTTTTAATATTTTTATTAGAGTATAGTTGATTTACAATGTTGTGTTGATTCTACATTATTACCTGGCACTTCCCTTGTGGCTCAGCTGGTAAAGAATCTGCCTGCAATGTAGGAGACCTGGGTTGGATCTCTGGGTTGGGAAGATCCCCCAGAGAAGGGAAAGGCTACCCACTCCAATATTCTGGCCTGGAGAATTCCATGGACTCTATAGTCCATGGGGTCACAAAGAGTCGGACACAACTGAGCAAATTTCACATACACACACAAGAATTCTCTTGTTAAGGAAAAGTTGAATAGAAAATTTTTATTACTTTTTGTCTGAATTAAAGATAAAATAAGCAAAAAAAAGAGGTGAAAAAACTCCACCAAGTGGAGAAGAAAGCATTATATGGGTACTCTTCTATCAATTGTTCCTGATTCAGTCTCCACGTAGCTATTTGACACATGATGTGTCAAACTCATGTCTTTATTTTCTAAACAAAGACTGACTGAGGAGTCTGTAGGGAACAACATAGCACCTTATAGCAAGAAACTATAACAAAAAGTGTGGCTTTGCCCCTTTAAACTCTGGGGATTTATATTAATGACAGCAAATCTTACAACCGATGCTGTATAGGAGGCTTTCCGAATATTATTAAGTCCCTGTGCCAAATGGGCCTGAGATTATTTTATCTCCATTTTACAGATGGGATCACCGAGACAGATGAGCAACTTACTCATATTCACATGGGTCGTGAAAGCCAAGCATAACAGATTCTG